ATCAAAAGATAGGGAAATATAATATGAGATAGCGTTTCAGTCAAAAAAAGTACACAAAAGTTAGCAAAGATAGCTGTTGTTTGGCCTGGAAACGAATGTTTTGTATGGCAGGACAATTTTTCTGCTCAAGTGGAGCACATTCACGGGAAGCATGGCTGCAGCTGAAATGTGATAGCACAGAGAGCGACGCTGCAGGACTTCAAATCCTGGCGCTTCCTGTTGTCTCGAGAAGAAAACAAGGAAAGGCGCATGTGTTTCTAGATTGAACACTTCCAGAACAAGTAAATACGTATGCGTTTTCACACAGATACATAAAAAGTGATTGTAAACACGTATGTGTTAAAGATGTTTTCCACACCTATACACATGGTGCTCAAAAATCTCGACTTTTTGGATGTGTTTCCACAAAAACATGGGAACGCGCATGTGTATCCTCATGAAAATACCAAACTAGCAAGGGAACGCGATTGTGTTTCCAGCTCCCATCACGATGGTGCTTGGAAACGTGTATGTGTTAAAAACGTGTTCTTTGTGTTGCCTCAAAACTGAAACCCGTAGCTATTTTTCTCGCTCAAGCTCACCCGAACCGTTGTTTCTGCCAGAAACGCTTCACATTTCGAGATCAAAAGCTAAGGAAACGACATGCAGCGGGAAAAACGAAACTTCCCAAAACCACATGACAATTGCAACAAAATACAAATTTTAACGCCAAACAGATACAAAAGATATACTTAACTTACAAAACCTATAACATAACTTAGCTTAACTTCAAGTTAACTTCCCTAAGTCCTTTGATAAAGCCCCTAAGTCCATCTTAAGTCAAGGCATATGTCTGTACCTATAGTAGTACCGCGCTTATCGGTGGCGGAAGTTTCAAAGAGAAGAAAACTATAGGAAGTTTGGCTGCGGAAATCTTCGGAACTTCCTTTGATAACATGTGTCCTTTTCGGCTGTGCTGGCGTTGGCTGGGACCCATGGTGAGCCCAGGGTTGTTTCATGTCAGTGGTTCAGCATGGAAGAGCTCATGTCCGACAGCTTCTGACGAAGTCACTGCATCCCGAAGGACATTTTTGGTTCTTGTCGAATAGCTGCCCACCCAGACGCAATGAGACAGTTTGGCTGTGGCTGTGACATTTATTTTCGTCTTGCCACTCGCATGACATTGATTTTGTGTCTGTGCCTTGCAGCAGTGGCAGGACTCGCTGAAGCAGTTCTGTGGGGAACATGATGGCGCTTATGGGTGGGATCTTCGACAACCTTATCCTTTTCCTGCGATACCAATCAGGCGTCTCCAGGGATCTGTGCCTGGGTGGAAAAAGTTAGCAGCCACTGCGGGCTGCAAAGCTGCGTTCATGTTAGAGCAGAGGGCAACTTGCTGTCCAGCTGTTCGTGTATATCTCAGGTCTCTTGGGTGAAACTGGATGTGAAGATCATGTGGAAGATTGCTGCGGCCCGCATCTTCCCTCGAAAGGCTCTCCTTAGTAAGCCAGCAGGATTTGGTGCCGACGATTGCCAGAAAGCCGCTGCGGCTAGCGCTGCTGAGGCTAGTGTTGTGAAGGATGTGAGCTCGCAAATTGTTGCTGTGGCTGCGCGAGGTTCTGCAGAGCCCAAAGTCATAGGTGAAGGTGTCAGCTGCCCAATGAAGCATGAATCTCGACCAGCTCGCTTGCTGCTGTCACCAATGTCTCGCAAAGCTTTTTTTACTCGGAACAAAACCGGTCATACAGATCCGGTAGAAGAATGCGTTCAATGTGGCATTTCTCGAAATTTCATTTTGAAATGGTATACGGCTGAAAGTGGGAACCCAACCGGCACATTGTGCCGTTGTTGCCGAAAGGCAAAGCAGTTGAAATATAAGCGAGACAGGGCTGCCGAAAAGGCAGCCGAAAGAAGGGAGAGGGCGACAGATGTGGACTAAAGTGGCCTATCTAGACTCTAAAGAACATTTCTGTATTTGTGACTGATGAGATTCAATCTTGATCTGGCGTCCTAAGCCTGAGAATGTGGATCGCTTGCATGTCGCAAAGTGCGGGGAAGGACAATTGTGTCCTGGGGGTAGAAAGAGGCGATTTTGAATATTGATCTTGCACGGAGATGTGACTTGCACGGGGACAAAATGGCTGATGTCTTGGCTTGCTTGAAGCGCTCTGTTGTGCTTCTGATAGGGCAGCATGCTGTCTACCTCCGGCTCCCTAGCCAAGATCCAGAAGGCAAAGTACATCGCATCAAGGTGGACGACTTGCACCAGGACCTTTTGGCCGAAAAGGACAAACCACTGTACTCGAAGTATAAGCATGCAGCAGTAAGACCAAGGAACATGCAAGTTCATCAATATATATATATATATGTACACTTAATATGGCTACAGTGGCATTCTAAACACATATGCACCTTGGGTGTGCTGATACAGCATATGGCTATAGCATATGCAACATCCATGTTGCCTATATCACAAGGAGCTCTTGAGACATCAATATCTACTTGAAGACTGCTATCTATATGGTATAGACATATTGTATACCATACCTAGGACCATAACCTCTTGAAGCACTGAAACACTTTTGTGCCCTTGCATGTTCCTAATCTGTCCCTACTTTGCCCCCCACCCCCTTGCATGTTCCTACTTTGTTTCCTCCCCTTCTCCTGTGTCTCCATATTGTACCCCCCCTTGTGTGCCTCTAGTTATCTTCCATGTCTGTCCCTAGTTTGTCATCTTCCATGTCTGTCTCTGCTCTGTCCTCTTTGAGTGTCTCTATCTTATGTTTCCCACTTTGTTTGTCCCTATTTGTCACCCTTGTGTATCCCTACTTCTCCCCCAGGTGTCCCCTTTACTTCTCCCCCAGGTGTCCCCTGTACTTGTCCCCAGGTGTTCCATTTTTTTTTAACTTGGCATTGGCATCGATCTAGTCCCCATTGGCCACATCCTGCGCATTTTCTTCTCGCAGGGAGTAGGGGGGGGGTCGAGCAAAAAAAAAAAATGCTCGACCCCCCCTGGAGTAGCGTTATATATATATATATTTTTTTTTTGCTCGACCCCCCTCCCCTGGAGTAGCGTCACTGAAACACATGCTTGTATAAATCCTTCAGGGGAAATGGAATAGATACGTGTATTTGATGAAATGTATACATATATACATATCCTTCCAATAGAATTCATTGATAACAGCAAGAATAAAAAAGAAAATAACTAAAAATCAGCAAGGTTGCAAGTATGTGATTTGTGGGCCCTGGTGGCGTCCCTTTCTGTTTTTTCCCCACCTGCCAGGTGAGGCCTCCTCGTCCTCCTCCTTCTCCTCCTCCTCCTTCTCCTCCTCCGCCTCCTCCTGCCTCGTCCTCCTCTCCTCCTCCTCCTCGTCCTCCTCGTCGTCCTCGTCGTCCACGTCGTCCTTGCTCAACTGCGACCCGCGATCCACAGTGTTCTCTGCCGGACCTCAACCACGACCATCCACGCCCAGTGTTCCCTGCCGGACCTCAACCACGACCATCCACGCCCAGTGTTCTCTGCCGGACCTCAACCACGACCATGCACGCCCAGTGTTCCCTGCCGGACCTCAACCACGACCAGCCACGCCCAGTGTTCCCTGCCGGACCTCAACCACGACCATCCACGCCCAGTGTTCCCTGCCGGACCCCAACCGCGAGTATCCACGCCAAGTGTTCCCTGCCGGACCTCATGTAGGAAGATATGGGACAAAGAATGTGCAGAAGAAAGTTAGAAAGAATGTCAGAAAGAATGTCAGAAGATATGCCAGAAGATATATGAATGCCAGATAGAATGCCAGAAGAGAGATGTCCAGAAGATGTCAGAATATATGCCAGAAGATATGCCAGATAGAATGCCATGCAAGAAGATGCCAGATAGAATGCCAGATAGAATGCCAGAAGATTTGCAGAATGCCATATGCCAGATAGATATGCCAGAAGATATGCCAGAGAATATGCCAGAAGATATGCCAGAAGATATGTCAGAATATATGCCAGAAGATATGTCAGATAGAATGCCAGAAGATATGTCAGAATATATGCCAGAAGATATGCCAGATAGAATATGCCAGATAGAATGCCAGAAGATATGCCAGATAGAATGCCAGAAGATATGCCAGATAGAATGCCAGAAGATATGCCAGATAGAATGCCAGAAGATATGCCAGAAGATATGCCAGATATATGCCAGAAGATATGCCAGATAGAATGTCAAATAGAATGTCAGAAGATATGTCAGATAGAATGCCAGAAGATTTGCCAGTAAGAAAATGTATAAATGTCATGGTGGGGATCACACGAAGTAAAGTTTTTTTTTTTGGGGGGGGTAGCATAATATATATATATACACATATGTATATGTGTATATAGAGGTCAATGTATGCATAGATATGTATATACATATATAATCGTCGAATCATGTATATACATACATAACATACACAGAGTTCTTTACTGTAGTCCTGTAGTCCTATCTAGGTATGTTGGTAGAAGTTGGTGATGGGTCGAAACACATGGTTTTCCATTTGTGAAATGGTGGCGTGAAACTAAAAAAATATAGGTATACCATATGACTACATGCCCAAAAACTTAACTTGGGATACACCACAAAAAGCACCCGAAATGGTCTGTTGAAGTACTGGAAGCCAGAAACCAAACACATTTCAACCTGGATGACACAACCCGAAAGGGAAATGTCCCAAGTGGGTCCAAAATGTGCAACTGATCGACAATGCAGCAAATGCCATGAAACATATGTTGCTGAGTTGTACATGGGATTGTATGTATATATATATATACATAGATGCATATATATATATATATTTACACACCGTATATACATCAAGTATATGTATCAGTATACACATATATATGTATGTATGTATGTATGTATGTATGTATGTATGTATAGATAGATAGATAGATAGATAGATAGATAGATATGCATGAATCACATACGATCATGATTCTGCAGTATATCCAAATGGAATGTATTCAGTTTACGTCAGATCCACGAGGTCACGGAGCACTTGTTGCTACAGTTGCGGCGCACGGGTCATGCCCGGAGTCTTGAAGGAGACGTCAACGATGGGAAAAAAACATATTCTGTGATTCGGTTGATGTTGATGTCTATGTTTATTTTTATGTTCGGTGCTTTCATTATGCGTTTTTTTGTCAAAAACAACTATATATATATAGGTACTTTACATTTTATGATGATGATGATGGTGATGATGGTGGTGGATTTACTGTATATGTGTTACTTTCTGCCAGGACACATCTTCCAGGATAAGTTGCGACCACAAGCACCTATTGACTCTCAATATTTGTCCAATAAATTTGTCTAGGCAATGGAATCATCATCATGCTTAATGGGCATCTATACATGGCCGATCTTACATTTCTGGACTTGCCTGCCACATAATATTCCTGCAAGTGTTTTTTTGCTTCACTGGATTTCATTGCTTCGATTGACGAAACAGCAGACCCATCTACACTGGCAACGCCGCGGCAAAACGTTCTGACCCAAGGTCTTTCACACCTCTGCTGAACGGGAGGTGGTGCGGCAAATAAAAGAGAAGGACTGCAGCTACAACGTGTGAGGGGGGTAAGACACTCTATAGGCTATAGATGACCCATAGTAAACAATCAGGGTCTGCAATATCCAAGTTTCCTGCTTGAACAATCTGGAATGGCAAGGACAGTTGAGCAGTGCTCAAAAGCCCTATTGGTTGATGCTTACAAGGGGTTATACTACCCTAGACATTGGGGATAATCATAACATATCATAATATATCAATAATCCATGGAAATCCTATCAACCAGTGTAAAGGGACGATGTTGCGGGTTTTGAACACTTTTGCGTCACTTGGGACTGGACACTTGTCAAATAACAATCCTCAGCAGCCGTTTGTAATTGATGATTGCCATACTTAATTGGCAATAGTATGCAATAGTTTGATCTCTTTTATTGAATATTGCTACTAATTGCCATTGCAGAATCAATCGACGAAAACTCCTCAACTCAGGAGTGCTACGTCGCCATGAATCCTCAGAAGGAAGAGCAAGACGGAGCCCGAGTCCACCATAATCTGCACTGTTTGGTCAAGTGGCTGTGCCAAATGGGGTGATATGGGGGAGTATTATGTGGTTGCACACCAAAGTGGTCAAAATGTTGAGGATTTGTCGGGGGAACCCGTTCTTTTCGACCATTTCCACATCAATTTCCACTGAGGGTGAGTATGACAAGACGTCCATGCAGCACCAGTACAAGCTGTCAGCATCTCAGGCAAAAGTACAGAAAAAGACACGGTCCAATTTTGAAATCCAGGTCCAGAGCAGATGGCTTTTAAGTGGCTACAAAGGATTGTAACATGTATCATCCTGTTAAAAAAACACTATTTTTCTCCACCTGCGATGAGCAAAAACTCACCCTTTGGTGAGGCCAGATGGTTCGGTCATCAGCCTGGGCACAGAGAGGTGCCATGGTGTTTGATCTGGCCATGATTTTCGCCCAAAAAGATAGACAGTAGTCATTTGTCACTATTTTTTGCAATTTTAGTGGCATTTTTGCTTTCTCATTTTTTGGAGGGTTGCTAAACAGGACTGCAGCAAGAAACGGCATAGCCATCTGCTTTTCCGAAGATTTCCATGAAATCGACACTGGCATGTCAAGGGACAAAAGATTCGCATCGTTTTTATGCCTGGGATGGTTGGTGTAGCCATGGCCTGCTTCACAGGTTCCGAGCACCAGAGATTCTCTTCAACCCAAGCCTGATTGGCCTGGAATATCCAGGCCGGTAGATGTTGCAAACCGCCGCTTTCTAAACGAGCTAAAGCTTGGCTCCAGGCCGAAAGGGATCAAACTTCACCCCGAAATGGACAGCTCACGTGTTCGCACTTCCAGGCATCCATGAGCTGCTCGCCACGGCCATCAACCGAGCAGACTTGGACCTCAGGATGACCCTCTTCTCTCAGGTGTGAGCTAGTGGACCTGGGCTGATGGACAGGAGAGACCCTTGACAAAGAGGTGATGATGATATGATATATATATATATACATACATACATATATACATATACACATACACATATGAAGACTAAGGTTGACTGTACCGTTCCTGTCCTTGCTGCTCAAGTCAATGGTAGCTGGTTTGGGTTGGTTTGAGCAATTTTGGGGGTGGATCACTGTTGCAAACGAGGTCAGTCGATTAGCATCCTGTCCCTTCCATTGCTCCCCGAGCATTTTGCCTTGGTTGTTGCTTGGGTTCGTCATTGGATTTCTTTCAGCCATCTTTCTGACTCTCTGTGTCATCTTGGCTTGGACTTTCCGTGGTGACTTGCTCAGGTTTTGCCATCCTGCACCTTCGTTCCCTGCTAGAAGGTCTAGGCTGTCAGGTTACCTTGAATGAGCAGCCCCTTTTCATCAGCCGAACTTCAGGATTTGATTTCGAAGTTGCATAGGCTGGAGCAGTGGCAGCGTGAGGTTGAAAGTCAGCGAGGCAACCAGCCGGCAAAAGGAGGGTACACTAGAGGTGATCCAAAAGCACGAGCTCGAGCTGCTGGCCCAGTAGGGGCTCAACAGGGTTTTCCTGGAATCCCTCAGTTGGCAGCTCTGTGGAAGTTGGAGGAGGAAGCAGGCCCGGAGTTCTCTGGTCCGGCCTTTGGTTCAGTGGAGGAGGGCCCGGGCCCCCTGCCCGATCTGTGTGAAGAGCAGTGTATCTTCGTCTCCTTGAATCATCGAGAAGCACTGCAGAGGGTGCATTTGGCCTATTCTGCCGGGTTTTGGGCTAGGGTTAGTCTGGAAACGTTCACTGATCAGGTTACTCCTTTGTCCTTCCCTGACACAGCCGCCCACTTCATTGTGCTCCGTGCCTGTGGGATTGGTGGTTACGTGCGCTTTGCATCCCGTGAGCATTTCAATCGTTTGAGGGATCAGATTTTTGCAGGTGGCCTCGTCGCTTTCGGGTTTGAGTCATTCGCTGAGTGCCTGCGGAGGGACGCCCCCTGCAGCATTGCTGCTTGGCGCTGGCGGGCCTACTGCGCTTTGTGGTGCAGTGGGTGCAAAGTTCCAAAGAGCACCTTAATTGGATTGCAAGACAAAAAAAATCAAAAAAAAGAACAAAAAAAGGCAAAAAAGGAAAACAAAACAAATAAAAAAGAATTCACGCCTGATGTGCAAAATGCGGCTGACAGACGTCAGTCGAAACAAGAGTCCGTGACGGACCACCGAATTCAAAATGCGGCTGATTTCAAGCAGTCGAAACAATATACCAAAAGAGAAGTCAAGAGAATGAAGATCAATGGATCTCAACCTAGACAGTTGCCTTGCTGGCTGGCGCTGCTGTGCTTGATGTGCTTGCCTGCCCAAGCTGCGTCTTCTTGCACGGAAAGCCCCGTGGCATGCACTAGACCTAGCCCCCTGGAGGGCTCCCCGGGTGCGTCGTTTGGCGGTGGGTTAGCCGCGGCCAATGTGACCCTTTGCAATGGTCTGTGCGGCAGCTGTTCTGCAGTGAAGTTCGCGCGCTGTGCGCCTTCGAACTCAACATGCGCTGCGCCTCAGTGCCATTGCAGTGAACTCCTGCCACCAAGCAGCGAGGCCATTTTTGCATCTTGGCTGGCACCTACCGAGAGCGATTTGTGGGATCCAGAGTCATGGGATACTCCTTGGTCACTCGTGGTGGGTTTTTCGCTGTTTGATTTTCATGTTGAAATGTGGCCTCATTTCCTGATGTGGTCTTTTACATCAGTGATTCTTCTTGGAAGGGTTCACAAACTCAAACGAAAACGGCGAAGGTCAAACAGGCCTTGCCTGAGAGGTAAACGACTTGTGTTCGGCCGAACTGTTTCCATGTGCCGTTTTGTTCGGTCAAGACGAGTTAGGGGGGCTCGCATGAAATGTAGGATTTCGACACGTCAGAAAGTCAGGGAGAGACGGAGTTTCAAATTCCGTTCCCGGCCACAGTTTCTTTCACCGGTGTCGGACAAGGAAATGCCTGATTTTCCGCAAAGCAAATCTGCTTGGTCTAAATTTAGCAAAGCGTATGTTGATCTTCTTTGCTCAGGTGTCTTGGTTGGGGGTACTCTCAACCAGTATAAGAAACACCCACCTCGACGGAAATATGCCAAACGGGGTGAGGGGAATAGCCATACTCTGGGTGAACAAACCCGGGATTTGATTGCTGCTTTGAAACAGTGCCTCAACAATGAACCTTCACTGGAGCATTTGTGGTCGGCCCTACAGGCCACTGTCGCCCAGACGGTGCCTCATAGGACCAAAAAGAGTGGACCCAAGAAAAAGAAACTGAAAAGCGTCGGCTCCAAACCTCCTGCTGACACAGGCGGGACTGATGAAAAGGTTCTCTGGTGGACTGATGAAACCGGTCACAAGAGAGCGTATACCATCAACCAAAGAGGGTGGTGGACTTGGGTACCTGATGTTCCGACCTCAGCAAGCCATCATCATCCTGCCAGCCGAGCAGATGGCCACAAAGGCGAGCCGAACCAAGGTAGACTTGGCACTTGGATGTCAGGGCTGAGGTCCACTGATTGGGCCACCCAGCCTGTTCCCAAGCTCATTTCTTTCCCTAAAATTCGTGACTCCCTGAAACTTGGACAAAAGATTGACGGGAACGTGGTTGAGATATGGAGCCCGGATGTCCTGGATGAGTTGAACACCTTGTGGTCATGTTTTGGAAAAACTGAAGGTTTGACCGCCATCCTTTTTGGAGAGGCCAGAGCCCAGAATCCTGAGGCCACTTCGGCCAGGTTGTCAGTGACCCGAGGGTCGTTTGGACCAAAGCTTGAAGAAGGGTCGCTATTGCGGATTGGTCCTGGCCAAGGTCCTTGGCTCCCCGGCAGCAAGAAGGTTGACATCAGCACCATCCCTACGGTGCAAAGGGAAACCTTGCGAGTTGCTGCTCCAAGTTTTTTCAGGGTCCCCTTTATCGGAGATCGCAGAGAAGACTCACCAACCTTGATTGTGCAAGCCTTAGCAAATCTTGCTGAGGCACCTCTGCATGATTTTTTAGGGGGGCGCTGGAATGCCCATGAAACGAAGGATGGCAAACAGCTTGTTGCTTTTTTACGCCTGAAGTCTTCCACTGTGGCTAAACTGAAACCTCTGAGTGGCCAGTCTGGTTTGTTTTTCACTCATATTAACCCCAAAGACAAAACGGAATTTCATCCTTTTTGGATCCAGAGGAATTCCCAAGAAAATGACGAAACCTACTTTAGACGTGTTGCGGCTTTGCAAAAGGAGCGTGCTCAACCTATGATTTTCAGGTTTGGCTCTGGTGCTAACCTGGGCTTCTGCAAGAAACCCAGTGATGTCTCCCCGGAGAAAGTCAGGATGCATGTTGCTCAGGGCGTCCCCCGGGCTTGGGGGATTGGTGACTTGGAATCATTTTTGCAGTCTCAGGCATGGTCTGAAATTTCTGACCTTGTCCGCAAGCGAAACTCATGGACTTTTCGGGCAAAGGCTCCGAAAGACAATGCCACCACAGCATCTTGGCATTACGACATCGGCTCTTCTGACAGCACAGACTGGACGATCACGATTCAGGTTGCGGTCCGGGCCCCTCAGGCTCCCCAGAAGAATGTTTCTCTGCGAGGACCCAGGCGAGAAGTCACCTTGAAAGAGTTTTGGCCTGCAGCCAAGGTTCCTGATCATGAGGAATTGCCCCAAGCGAAATCTCCAACTGACTCTCATACACCAGCCGGTGTCTCACCAGTTGCAACTGAGGGTGTCCGTAGCAGTGCTCGTGACCGCACTCAACGCAGCAGGTCACCAAAGCGATCTGATGAGGTCGCTCCTACTATCCCTGAGACTCAGGAAGACGAGAGCAAAGAAGACGAAAACATGGGAAACACCGAGGCGAGTAGACCTCCCAAAAAACAGCGTTTGGTTGAACCCAGTGACCCTCAAGAGGCCCTCAGCAGTTTTGGGTGGCAGCAGTGGGACCAGCACGGAAATGGTGACTGTTTTTTTTCGACATGCAAGCGTTTTTGTGAACAAGGCCAACACTCAACCTGATGTCCAGGATAGTCAGCATCACGCGGCATGGATCAGAGCGCAGACCTGTCAGCATATCAAAAAACATTCACGCAGGTATGCGGAGCTTTTTTCAGGAAAGTCAGATTTTGATGCTTGGCTCCACAACGCAGCCAAGCCCACCACTTGGGCTGATGGTCGCACCATCCAGGCGGCCAGTGAGAAACTTGGCTGCCCAGTGGTGATTTGGAATAAGGATGGGAACACGTACACTAGATACGTGATTGCACCCAAGTTCAGCCGAGGTTTTGCTTGTGGTAGCACTGGTTGCAACCCCATTTGCCTTCTTCTCACTTCCAAACACTACACTGCCCTGGTGCCTCCCCCTACCGGTTCCGTCCCTCACAGTTGGCTTCGGGAAACTCCGGATGTTGTGATTGATCTCTCTGGCGGAGTTGGTGGTGTTGCTTCGGGTTCCGCTGGGCTTGCGCCTGTTGGGCCTTCTCCCCCGTCGGTGCGCGCTGGTGGCTCTCCTTCCCAGAGGACTTCCTCTTCTGCCGGCACCCCCTCCGTGCACTCCCTCGCCTCTCCTGCTCCCTCCATGGCTCAGGGTTCGGCGGGGCGGGTTGGCGGTTTGCTTGGCTTCTGTGCGGCTTCGTCCTCGCGTTCCCCCTCCGTGCACTCCTTGGTCCGGTCCGCTGCGTCTGTCCGCCCTGGCGTTTCCGGTGCTGTCCCCAGTGTTGCTCTGCCCCCGGTCACGCCCGTGCCCGCTCGGAGTTCTTGCGCGTCGGTCCCCACTCCGTCCGTCCGATCGGTCACTCCGGTTCGCCGCTTGCGGTCTAAGACCTTTTGTGCGGACGCTTTCGAGTCGCGCTCGTGTCCTTCGTCGGGTCATCGCTGTGTGAGCGCCGCCGGTCCTGTGTCTGGTCCTGTCACCCCGTCCGTCCACTCGGTCGTCAATCTTGCTTGTCGTCGCCCTGCGCGTGCGTCTTCTTTTTCCTCTCCTTCTCTCGGACCCCCCCCTGAAAGTGACTCCTCTCATTGCAGTGTTGACAATGGTGGGGGGAGTAGAAATAGTACCCGTAAGATTAAATGCTTGAGTCCTGAAGAGATTGCTGCTATTCCTACGGTTGATTTGCCCCCGGATATTAAAAAGTGGTGGACTTGTGATATTTGCGGATATCAAATTTTTCGCCACGTCGAAGACAAACCTGAAATCCATCGCACAAGGAGAAAACATCACTTGCGGAAGAAACATGGCATTTCTTGCAACGAAGTGCCAGAAATTGTCGCGGATCCCGCACCTGTGGGGTCTGCTATTCCACCATGTGAGAAGTTTGCCCAGGTTTTGTGCGAAGTGCTCAATTCTGAGAAGTGGCCAGGTCTCCATCAGGTCAAGCGCCCTGTCAAGCGCAAGGGCGCCCGAAACTTGGATTGGCCATGCGAGGCTTGTGGAAGAGTGTGCAGACAAGCTCAATTGGGTTCTCTAATTTGTAAGTCTTCTGATGGCGACAAGGTTCCCCAAGAAAGTGTCAGGCAGAAACTCTTCAAAAAATGCCAGAAAAAGGCCAGACAGATTCTGCAGCAAAAGGCGCTGGAGCGCACTAAACAGTTGAAGGACATCCATCTCCGACAGGAACAACAGCGGTTTGCCCATGCGAAGCAGGTCACGCCTGCGCCTTTGTTTCAAGGACTGCCGGTTTTTCCTGCGGGGAACAGGGACGGGACTGTTTGGTGGAGCTGCTCCTTTTGTGATTTTAAGGTCATTCATGGAGAACAAAGGCATAAAGCGTCTAAGAGAATCTACCACTTGACCTCTGTCCATGGGATCAAAAGCAAAGATATCCCGAAACTTCCCAAAACCGGGTTTAGACCTACGGGGGTTTTGGCCACTATTGACACTGTTCAAAAGCGATGAATCCGGCAGCTTGAACTCTTCAAGAAGGTTCGCTGGGCTGCTGCGAATGATTTGTCGCCTGAACCTTCGGTTGTCTACCAAACCAGGCATTCCAAAAATGGAAAGCGTTACACCTCCAAGAAATTTACTTGTCTCAAATGTTCTTGCTTTGCCGGAAGTTCTGAAATCCCTGCGTCTACTTGTTCCGCGGCCCAAAAAGGTCGCCTCCCTAGTCTAGCCAAGCGAAAGGCACTATGGAAAAAATGCCGTGAAACTGCAGCCAAGGAAATCTCTGTGGATTTTTGCCAACAGGACAACCATTCCAACAAACGAAAACTTGGGTCTGATTCTGGTAATTCTTTCCCAAACAAACGTATGGCTCCTTCTTTCAGTAAAAAAAGCTGACGGCAGTGCTGCCACGGGTCGGGGCCTCCGTGCTGTGCGGGTTGGAGAAGCTAAGCACCCGGGCCCGTCAGGCGACCATGGCGGCAAACTCAGATGTGTGGCTTGGAACATCAACTCTTTCCGAAATCATTTCGCGGCTATGTGTCAGGAAGCTGAGGCAGTCAATGCTAATGTGATCTTTCTCCAGGAAACGGGGATCACTAGAGGCCAAATGGTTTCTGCCATGCACTTGGCCCGAAGGCACGGTTGGCAGCTCAGTGGAACGCCAGCAGGGGCCGTTGCAGATGGCGGTCGTGGGGGCACCGCAATCCTGGTCAAAGAGCCTTTAGCCTTAGCTGATATCCATTCCACCACTGAAACTTGGGGACAACTTCAGGTTGCCGAGATCCTTGGACACAAAGTCCCCATTACTGTTATTAACGGGTATAGACGGCCCCAGCAGGCGCTTGATGCCCCCAATGAAGCGCTTATGGAATGTTTTTGTCGGAATCAGCACAAGCATTGGGTTTTTGCATGCGATTGGAACTTGGACCCTGCCAGTGATCCTTTAGCATCTGTGATGACTTCCTTTTCTGGTCAGCTGGGTAGCTCGTCCGGTCACAAACGCAGTACTCATCCCACGGACTCTGTTTGGTTCTCTCAGTCTCTCAGTTGTGAGAAGCAATCGCCCATGGATGCTCTCTCCGACCATTTTGGCTCCTTTGTTGAGTTAGGCCAGATTCCCTGCTCAGATCCGTCCCCTCCTGCATGGATTTTCAAAGCGGTGGCACGCCTCCAGGACAATTGTGACCTCCCCTCTGCGGATGAGGCTGCTCAGGCATGGCACCATGTCAGCACACCGTCTGAGGTGTGGGAAGCGTTGGTTCAACAGGATATAAATGATGCATGGTCTACCTGGTCTTCTGATGCGGAAATTTTTCTGAAAAGAATCGGTGCAGTCAGCCATGAAAGCAGTGCTGCGCAAAGAGGGTCCCTGCCCACTCTGGTTAGCGGCCCCTCCCGACATGGCCCTGGTCAAAGCATCACGGAGAGGCGCCTCAGGCGTGTGATCCGCAGATTGGACGAAGCTCAACGGCACGTTCACAATGGCACCTCGGTCCCTACCAACTTGCAGAGAACCTGCCAGAGAAATTGCAACCAATTTGGATGCGGAGCTGATGCGCAAGCCCACAGGTGGGGGGCATGCCTCAAGCAGCTTACGGAGCAACTCAAATTTTTCCTCAAGCAGTCCAATCTGCATGCACTGCATGGCTGGCGGCAGAAGGTGCAAACTTATGACGGAGCCTGTGCTTGGCTCCGAAAGCAAGCCCCGCCCTCTTGGGCCCTCACCAACGGTGACAAGAACACGTCTGGTAGAAGTCAAGGGGCTGCGTTTTTATTTGAGTCTTGGAAGAATATTTTCTGCGGGCCCGAAGGCTACGAGCCCAAGGCTGAACCTTTTATCCAAGCCTATGCAGCTTGGATCCCGAACAATCCGGAGCTGGCTACTCCTGCGCTCACTGCCCAGGGTCTTAAGGATACCGTCCGTCAGATGAGACGGAAGGCTGCCGGCCCGGACCAATGGTCTGCTGAAGCTTTACTGCTGCTTCCCGACATGGCTTGGGAGCGATTGACAAAGCTGCTTTTGCAAGTCGAACAGGTAGGAGAGTGGCCTACCCCGCTGGTGCAGTGGCGGCTGACATTTCTACCTAAGGTTTCTGCTGACAGAACTGGTGTTACCCATGTGGCCAAGGTGAGGCCGATTGCCATTGGATCCCTCATCTACAGGGCCTGGTCCAAGCACAGGTTCGCCCAGATCAGTCCTGGCCTGGTTGGTTTGCTGCATCAGAGACAAGTTGGGGGGTTGCCAGGCATTGGCGCCGAAATGATGCTGGCCGCTCTTCAGAACCAAACTGATGCCACTACTCACCCTTACGGCATGAGTTTGGATTACAAGAAAGCTTTTGATTCGGTCGACTATGTGATCTGTCTTCGTCTCTTCGAAGCACTCGGCATCCCGGGTCCCATTCTCAAGGCGCTCGGGGCGGCTTGGGATCAGCAGACAAGGTGGGTCACATTTGGCCAATGTGTCCACCCCCAACCTATAGTCCAGTGCCCAGCTTTGCTTCAAGGTGATCCTTTTGCTCCTCTTGGCATGGCCGTCATCTTGGCACCTGTGCTTCGCCAACTGCAAGCTCTTCACCCAGACATCTTCACGGTCACGTACATTGACGACAGGACTTGTTTGTGCCCGACTGTTGCTGATCTTGATGTGGTCAACAACGTTTGGTCTACCATGGAGTCCTTTTTGCGGCTCCGCACGAATGAGGAGAAGAGTCAAATCTGGGCTCGCTCTCCTGAGGCTTTGGCAAAGCTGGATAACACCCACTATAGCTCCAATGCCAGCTTCACCATGCAGGTCCTTGGGGCTACGCTTGGTCCAGAGGAACGTGCTCTCTCAGACCGTGAAAGAGACACGTTGCTTGATGTCGCTCGTCGTTCCAGGCGCATTGCTTGTTTGCCTGTGAGTGCTCGCCTCAAAGGTCGCTTGGCAGCCACCGTGTTGGGGCCCAAAGCAGTGTGGGGCCATGTGATAAACGGTCGCTGCCCGACCCAGAAGGATATTGCCTGCTTCTTCCGCGACTACAAGGCGGCGACAAGTGACAACCGGTTTGTCAAAGGGCGCTCGTCCATGGACCTCAAGCGGGCTTTCTTCTTTGGTCATACTTGCGACCTGGCCTTCTATGGGGCCCTCCGCACCATCAGTTTGGGTTTTGCCTGGGCACGTCACTGTGCCAGCTTGGGCGAGAACTGTCGCTGGAGCCAGTCTACGGTGTTTTGCCTCAATAGCACCCTGCAAGACTTGGGTTGGTGTGCTCATAGCAATGCTGTCGGCCAGAGCGGGGATGTCCCTTGCATTCATTTTGGGGCAGTGAAGGCTGAAGTTGACAAATGCCTCCATCACATTCGAGACGCTTGGCGTTTGAAAAAAGTGCGTCAGTGGTTGTCGCACCGCACCAGGATTGATAGTGGGATAGGTCGTGATACCAATCTTATCATTTCCGAGCCTCTGATTAAAACTGTCAGATCTATTCTCAGAGATTGTGATGCTCATGTTGTCTCTGTTGCCTGTGGAGGTTTCCAAACTGTCTCACTTGATTTTGAGAGACTGCATCAAGGGGTCGCTCCTGTTCAGCAGTGTCCGTATTGTTTGCAGCTTGATGTTCCTGGCGTCATTCATGTCTTGTGGAGCTGTCAGGCTTTTTCTCATTTGAGGTTGCTTCCGCAGCCTGAGTGCCCTCTCGCCTCCAGGATTGGTTGGAGCAGCTCCCATCAAGTCACTAAGGATCTCTTGGTGCAGATGGGCACAATCCGGGCAGCTGAAGCTGCTCGTCGTTTGGCACCTGCGGGTGCTGGCTGAGGCTGAAGCGTGGCTTCCTTGGGCTGCTATGCACTGTGTTCTGCTGCTTGCGGCGGGGCATGGGCAGCATGCGGCGCGCGACTACACAGTCATTCGCTGAGTTGGACGTCTTTTGCCAGGGAGCAAGGATCACCGTGCCTCCTCTCTTTGTGCCATGTTGAGAAAGAATAGGATCCGACCAGCCAGCAGAGGCGATCCGACTCTGCTGGTCCTGACCTTGCCAGAGCATGCATCGGCGTTTGGCGATGAGGTTGATGTCTTCGCCATGCCGCTAGAATTTAGACAAGGGAGAATGCTCCTTGCTATCCCAAAGGACACTTTGTCCGCCCAAGCACTTGCAGATGGCCAGTCGGGGTCCGAAGAGATCTTATTTGGGCCTAATTCAATTTTTGCTTCTGACCTTCTAGATGAAGGTGAGGATCTCAACTTCACTGTTCCCGTTGGTGTCGAAGTGGAGGTCTTAGTCGTAGATGTCTCAGATGATGTTTTAGCACTCTGCAGAGAATATGATCCAGTCACTGACACCACAGCCACGATCCTAGGATACTCCCACGAGCATCCGGCCAGCCTTCCTGAACATACTAGGTTGCTTGTCCAGGTGAATAGTTGGCTTCTGTCGCGCACTGACGATCGGACAGGTTTTTATACTGCTCAAGAAGACCAGGAACAGGGTCCGAAAGCCAGCAATCCCCCGGGCACCGGGGTGCCACCAGGCAAGAAGCCTGCGACCGCAAAGAGGGTTTCCAATGCAGCCATCGCCGAGCAACTGACAGCTTTGTCTGCCCAACTACAGCTGTTGTCCCAGAGGCAGGATCGTCTAGAGTCGTCTGGTCCTGGGTTTGCAGGTCATGCTCCCGAGCCTTTTGTTGGTCCCACGCCAAAGTTGCCTGCAGTGTCGGCACAGATTCAGAATCAAAGCGGCATGTTGCAGACAGGTCAAGCCAAAGCATTGAACCTGATAGGACCTCCCCCTCGGACGCGTGCAGCCCCAGCAGCACCAGGTGCGAACGATGCCGTGCAAGACGAACCTTACGACCCATTGCAACCAACTGCAGGCGATCCCGAAAGCATAGCCAGTGCCATTGCTCAGCAGAGCACAGCGATAACAGCTCTGGTAGCACACCTCACGTCGCAGTCCGGCGATGTGATGGGAGACTTTCTGTCAACAGGGCAGTCATCCAGTACCACAAGAGGCGTTCAAAGAAGAGAGAAAATGCAGAACGACCTTGCGACAGGCAGCAGTTGTTATTTCTTCCAACTCATGCAGCAGCTTCACAGGCGCTTGCACCCATCGAAACCTGTTCCACAGCGAGAGGAGGAGTTGACAAGGTCTGTCAGTCCTTCACTACTTGGAACGTCAAGGAGGGTATCGGAATCAGAGAGAAATGGGCTTGGTGGCATGGGTTTTAGGACATGCCTTGGATGCGGCAGCTGCAGGGGACTTTCGACACACGAAAGAAGTCCTGGCCTTGTTGATGGTGGCAGTGGAGCAGTCCGTCCTGGATCGAGGGGATTGGTCCCTCGCCTTCATGCTGACGTTGATGGAGGAGCCACCTTTACAGATGTTTCAGGAAAGAGCCATGACCCTTGCCCAAAACGCCAAGCCTTTTGGACCTCTAGTACCACCACAGTGGACCGCAGTCTGCCTCTCTTACTTGAAGGACCTGGAGGTGTTGGCAAACAAGAAGGTAGAAACTGCCAAGCGAGCTGCAAAGCCTCCGCCTGCCAACCCATCAGCAGGGAGTACGGGGGAGCCGGAAAAGGAGGAATCTCCGCGGCGCAAGCCGAGGTTCCCGAAGAAACCAAAAGCGAAAGCCCCAGCGGATGCATGAAGAGGGACTCCACCAGGAGTTCCGCTCCACATGTTGGTAGCATGTACAAAGGTGCCTCTGCCGGTAATGTGGATTTAATTAAAGGTGGACTTTTAACTGGGCACAATCCCCGTAAATGTCCTAGGTGTAAATCGGCCCTTGATGCTTTTCCTTGTAAAGCTTGTGGACTTAAATCGGTGGGCTCACCTAGGCCAAATGTTCCTGACTCGGCTGTGGACTTCCTTAGCTTTCGCCGATGGTGTTCATTTTTGGCCGTGTCTGTTCTCAGAACCCGTTCTGCCTTTTCTGTATTCCTTAGAGCAACTTTGCATTTGCCTCGAAGCAGTTTGCTTTCGACATCGCCGGCCTTTCCCCTTCCAGTGCCCTTCCCAGGGGCTTTTGGTAGGATGCCTCCAGGTCTTTCGTCTGCCAAGAGAAACCGTTGCCATTTTAGACGTGCTATGCATATTGTGGTGATGGCTCTTAACTACTGGTGGTCGGGAAGCTGTTCCATTCCATTGGAGCATCTGGAGAGGACTCCATCCAAGTGCCAGCTTGCAATTTTTCGCAGGCTGGCGAGTCTTATGCTGGCTGACGGCCCTGTGGAGCCTTTTGAAGTGTTACGCAGTGGTCGGCGTTTTCATTTTTTGGTAGCACGTCTTGCAGAATTATCAGAAGCCTTGACAAAGCTTGGTGTGGGAGCTGGCCCTTATGAGAAAGTCTTCCCTGGGCATGATGTTCCACTCAACAATGCACTTTTTGAGGAGCTTGAACCCTACCGAGCTCTTGATGCTGAGCGCTTGAAGGTGGTGGGAAGTGGCCATTTTGATGCGTCTCCTTATTTGTCCCCTGAGCTGTGTGTTGCCTATCGGTACCCGGATGCTCTGTTGCTTGATCGCTTGCCCAGCAGTCATGAGTTTCCGCAAAAGGCTGATCCAGTTGATGAGGTGGTCAAGTTGGCAAAGCTTTGGGACGTTCGTGGCCTTCTCCATATCCATGATGTTGACATCATGCACGAAAGGCGCTTTGAGCTAGTCAGGGTTTTCAATTGCTATAAAAACTCAGCTTGCGACCGCCAGATAGGAGACAGACGTGGTAGGAATGCTGTGGAGGGACGTGTGGTCGGACCTTCATCGAGCCTCCCTACGGGGCCTGACCTATTAGATTTGAGCTTGGATTGCAAGTCTGAAACATTGTCCATCATTTGCACAGATAGGCGCGACTTTTACCACCAGTTTTCTACGACTCTAAATAGGACCCTTTCAAACACGGTAGGCCCTACTTTGCCTGTTGAAGCAGTGCGAGATTCTCTGGCCTTTGGAAGATTCCTTGAGTCGAAACGGTCGAGGTATGGGTCCAGACTGCAGCAAGGTGATAGGCTTGGTACTTCTGAACGGCAATCCTTTAAGAGATGTCAAGAAGGCACCTGTATGGCAAGTTTCAAAAGTATCTTTCAGGGTGACCATGCTGGAGTAGAAATAGCCACGGCAGCTCATGAAGGCCTTTTGCAGACGGTTGGCCTCCTCTCTGATGAAACGAGGCTTCTCTCCAGCAAGCCTTTTACAGGCAACAGTCTGTGCGAAGGCTTGGTCATTGATGATTATTTTGCTGTTGCGGTTGTGCCTCGTTCTCTTTTGGTTCCCAGCCCTGCTGAAGCCTGTTTTCGGTCTAGCAAGGATCTCTATGCCAAGCATGATATTTTGGGGTCAGATGACAAGGACATTACAGGGGCTAGGAAGGCAAAGTTGATTGGTGCAGTGCTGGATGCGTCGCCCAAATGCCAGGATCGAGGAGTCGTGTTGGTTGCAGCTCCGGCTGAAAAAAGATACTCCCTGTCTTGGGTTACCCTCCAGCTCTGCCAGTTGTCACATACTACTGACTCCTTGCACTTATGCCTTTTGGGGGCTGGACCTCTGTGCTGATGTTTAGGCGTCCCCTGATGTCCATCCTTTCCAAGTCCTTTCGTCTGGTCTCCATGGATAACTTTGATGCAGCCTGTCCGAAGATGGTCCCGTTGCCGCGTTCAATTGTGAACGAGCTCACTCTGCTTAGCATTCTAGTTCCGCTGTGTGCCTCTGACATTGCAGCACCGTTTTGTGACCAGCTTTTTGCAACCGATGCCTCACTACATAAGGGGGCGATTGTGCAAGCTCAGGTGCCACAGACAGTCATCCAATCGCTTTGGAGGAGCTGTAGGTCAAAGGGTGGATATTCAAAGCTCCTTGATAAGTCCCAGTCGATTTTGTCCAGGTGCTTGGATTTTGAGGAAGAAGAGCCAGATCGAAGCGTCTCTGTGAAACGTCCCCTTGCATTCAGGTTCGACTTTGTCGAGGTCTTTGCTGGTGCTGCCACAGTAACATCAAAGGTTGCCCAACTTGGATTTTCGGTGTGTTGCCCCATTGATATCTCTTTTGACCGCGAGCTTGATGTTGCCAGTGTGTTTATCATTGAGTGGTTAATTCACTTGGTTAGCAACCATTTTGTAAAAGCGGTCATGTTGGAGCCTCCATGCACGACCTTCAGTGTAATGAGGAGGCCTCCTTTGAGATCGAAGCAAGCTCCGTATGGGTTTGATACGCAAGATGAGCAGACTCTTACCGGTACCAAGCTTGCCCTCCGGGCACTGCAACTGTTGTTTGTTTGTCTGCGTGCTGGGGTGACGGGAGTCGTGGAAAACCCTTGGTCTTCAAAGATCAAAAATCTCCCACCTTGGAGAGCAATCATGGACCATGACCAATGCACTATGGTACGGTGTGACTCGTGTTTTTATGGGAGCCCCCACTTGAAGGCTTTTGTTTTCCTTTGTGCATGGGCGCATACAAACCCGATTGAGGGACGATGCAGGGGTGACCATGAGCATGTACAAGTGGCGGGCGCACTTACCAAGAAGTCAGCTACTTACGTTGAAGGCCTTGCCTCTGCCCTTGCTGTGGTCATGTCCGAGGGGATCATCCGGCTTCGGGATTTTGATTTTGAGAATGCCCCTGAGAAAGTGAGTGGACTTGAGAGTCAACTGGTGAATGAGGTATGCCTTTCCTCTAGCTGGTCGCTGCTTTCCGTTTGGGCCTTCCGTGTCTCATCCCATATCAACTTACTTGAGTTGAGTGCTGTCCTTCGTCTGGTGACTAGACTGGTAAAAAAGGGTAAGAGCCTGCGAGTTGTCATCCTTGTCGATTCCAATGTGGTAAGATGTGCCGCCTCCAAGGGCAGGTCTTCGTCCAGAGCCCTGTCGAGATTGCTTTCCCGTCTGGCTGCCTTGAGCGTTGTAGGTGGACTTTTTGTGGTTTTTGGTTTCATCCCTACCAGGTGGAACCCTGCAGACGATCCTACTCGTGACACAATCCTTCGGTCCTCCATCCCGGGCATGGATTTAGCCGCTTGGGATCGTCCTGACTTGTTTCGTCTCTCCTGCTTTCCTCGGTGTCGTTGTTGGTGTTCCAACTGGGTTCGGCTTTGTCTGTTGCTTTGTGGCCCTGCTCTGCTTCGGTGCGCTGACCGCTCCTGCTATGCCAAGCCTCGGTTTCCCTATGGCATGTCCTGTGGCTTTGTGGATTTTGCGTCTGATCCCTGTGTGCCTCCGTTGGACTTTGATTCGACGCTTGGATTTCCAGGTGAAGGGCCATCGACTGACCTCGTTTGTAACAGTAGACCCCTCAGACTTGTGCTTTGGGTTGCCATGATTTCCTCCTGCGCCATGGCTGTTTTGCAACCTCGAAATCCTGGAGACTTATTGAGACAGTCACAACGCAATGCCAGGCCCCCATTGCAAGAAGGGCGCCCGGTGTTAGGAGTGACTAGTCAGCTAAGGTCATCCTATATTTCTCAGTTTGAGGCGTGGCTTTTTGGCCATGGTGTTCGCCTGGAGGTGCTTCTTGAAAATTCAGCAACCAGGGTCGACGATGTCAATCGGTGGTTAGTTAGCTATGGCCGCTGTCTGTATGGAGTGGGGCGACCATATAATCATTTCGCCGAGACTATTAATGCTGTCTCAGCAAAGAAGCCGGCATTGCGCCGACAGCTACAAGAGGCGTGGAACTTAGCTTTTGCTTGGGTGAGAGATGAGCCCACAACTCACCACATAGCGATACCATGGCAGGTACTTCTGGCTTGTATTTCAGTTTCTTTGATTTGGGGCTGGGTTGACCTAGCAGGGATGCTGGCGCTGACTTGGGGAGCTGTCTTGCGAGTTGGAGAATTCTTGAGTGCGACCAGGAAAGATTTGCTTCTACCTTGCGATACAAACTTTACAAATTCTTTTGCTCTTTTGGCTCTTAAGGAGCCCAAAACCAGGTGTACTGCTGCTCGACATCAAAGCGCAAAGTTGGACATACCGGACTTATTACGTGTGGTTCATCTTGCCTTTGCGCGTCTGCAACCTCAACAGAAGCTTTGGCCTCGTTCAGGACAGACACTTCGTTTGCGTTTTAAACAGGTTTTGGAAGAAATTGGAATTCACTCGCAAGTGAGACTCAATGGAAAATCTTTGGATCTGGGTGGACTGAGAGCAGGTGGCGCTACATGGATGATCCAAGTCACTGAAGATTCCGAATTTGTGCGTAGACGTGGAAGGTGGATAAACAGCAGAGTGATGGAAATATATTTGCAAGAAATTTCGTGCTTTCAATTTTTATCTGCAATACCTCTTTCCGATCGGCAAAAGGTCTTCAGCTTGTGCAATTTCTTTCTACAAGCTGTTTCAGGTGCTGAGAAGTTTAGTGCTGCAGATATACCACCTACGGTGTGGTACATTTTGTGGAAAAGGACAAGTTAACAGGAACTGGCGGGAAGTATGGGTCCCTTGGAGCTCACCGTTCTTTATGACCATGGAGCTCAAGGTTGTGCAAAGACACTCACGCAGTGCCAGTTGCAAGGAAAAGAGCGAGGTGCTTGAAACCTTGAAGACTAAGGTTGACTGTACCGTTCCTGTCCTTGCTGCTCAAGTCAACCCACCCTCTTCGATGACCCGACCCGACTGCAGTCCTTTCACAAAATGGGTCCCTTGGAGCTCACCGTTCTTTATGACCATGGAGCTCAAGGTTGTGCAAAGACACTCACGCAGTGCCAGTTGCAAGGAAAAGAGCGAGGTGCTTGAAACCTTATATATATATATATATATCAGTTTGTATCAGTGATATATTCGCTACTGATATGACCCCGATCAGATCTCAGATTTCTGGACGGCCGCAGATCGTTCTGTCCGGTGGATCCACCATGTTCGAGAAGTTCGGCGACCGGCAACTTGGTGATTTGACCGGTGACTCCCATGGGATTTAAGAACCCAAAATCATGAAGTATCAGACCATAATATGGTAGCATGTGATATGATGGCATGCACATATATATCTATGTGTATATCTATATATATATATATATATATATATCTATATATATATCTATATATATATAGGGTGCGCAATGCTTTGGGGGCCCCATGGAGGGCCATGTTTTCAACCTTGCCAACCCATATATATATATATATACATATGCGCATAGACCAACCATCTGTGGCGTTCTACGAATGGAGGACCCCAAGTTATCATCCAATTTACTGGGTGTTTGAATAATGGGGAAACCAATGGTTAAGAGGGGCACACCAATTTTGAGGATCACATTTTAAAAATCACCTGTCCTGGATAGAAAGGGAGACTAGCTGAAATTGGAGATGGAAAGACATGTCTACTCTTTTCCGGACCTGTCTAGGGTTGCTAGCAGTTCCGTGCAGTTCCGTGAAAAATGAATCTTGAGGGTACTGAGAATGACATTAGCTCCCAAGGCTTCTGAACGAAGTGAAGAAACTTGCTCCAAAGGACTCTCCAAACGGTCTGAAGTGGTGAGGAGGTGTATAAACAGGCCTTGCCATCTTATTTCTTCTCAGCCTCCTCAGTATCGGTTCTTGCACTCTTGGCCATAGTCCATAGGATTCATAAATATAGTTACAGTATTGCGTGAATAGTCAGTATCCATTTGCCCCCAAGAATGCAGGAGCAATTCTAGCTATGGCAGTGTGTCAAAACCAATAGTACCCCTGTAGTTCACATCAAAATAGCTGGGATTTATGGATGTTCATCCCATTAGAATTGATCATAATAGGTATTGATCCATAGCCCTATGGGAAAGAAACACATCATGGTTTTGTTTTTGCATCTATCGCAGTCAGCACCTTTCATGAAGGTAAGATGACTGACCCTGCAGGACATCAAGATTCGCATCTCTGCTCCCCCAGAGAGAAAGCTTTCCACATGGATAGGCACGGTTGGGGAAGACAACGGTTTTGGGAGGCATTGCGCCATTCAATAGCAACATAGCAACATCTAGCAACATATTGATGCGCCCCAGGCGGATCCATCCTGGCATCTTTGGCGACCTTCAAAAAGCTTTGGACTCAGAGCCCTTCGAAAGGAGGTGACGAGGTGGAATCGCTTTGCAAAACCGAATCGCTGAAGTTCGCTGAAGGATGTGGGTGACGAAGGAGGAGTTCGAAGAAGATGGATATTCCATATTGCGGGCTGCTCAGTTCCGAAAGTCACAGAAATTTCGGCCTGGAACTTGCCACCACTACCCGGTTTATGATCCGTATGTGACGAGCATCTCTGCATTGTGCAAGGCATAAGAAAGCTTTCTGAGCACGGCCGACTTGGGATGATGTTCATCCATCGATCATTTCCATCCCATGCTGTGGGATTAGTGGCATGTGTGATGTGTACTTGGTTTGCATGTTTGCACAAAGTGGCACCTGCAAATGTACCGTGAAGGGCTGCGAAAGCAACCCTTGTTCGCTTTCCAAACAAATCCTTCCACTGCCAAGAGAGGCTTTAGCCCGTGAATCCCTGCAAACCTAGAAGCAAAGCCTTCAAGTTTGATTCCTTAAACTTCCATTGTATCATTGTCCACTCGATTTGATTCGCCGTCTGGATTTGAGCGTCTTGCAGATATCGATTTGGGTCGTGCTATGAAAAGCAGTGCTGCCGCACTGCCTTGGTGGAGTTTTTCCTGCTCTTAACACAGCAGCTTGCCATGAACACCTGCTGGTTACTCCAACATTCTGATGTTTGGACGCAGCCATTCAGTGGCTTTGCTTGTGGCGCACTGATCACGCCTTGGAAAAAAAACAGAATGGGTTGGAAACAATGACACTCACAAGCAACTTTGGACTCCGACGGATAATGAAAAGCTGCACTAGTCTATTGCGCACCTTTTCATCCTTCTCGAAACATTTGCACATTGAGAGGACTTTGGGCCCCCTGAATGACTGTTGATCAGACAAGTAACAAGGAGAATGCTGGTGGACATACCTTTGACATTCCAGAAAGTTCAGAAACCACACATTCTGGAATACCTTGGAATACCTTGGATTCCATATTCACAAACCATCACCTTGGAATATGAAAACTTGGAATCCTTGGAATACAAACAACAGACGTCCGACGTGTGTTTTTTTTTGTGACACTCAGCATGTTGGCCACTGCCCTTCGCCCCCTGGCACGAATCGCCAGGATGGGGTTTCTCAATTTTGATTCATTGATACCTCTGGTAATTTAACACAGCTATAGAAAATGGCCATTTTTAATGGGAAAATCCATAAACATTCTGATAAACTATGAATTTTAAGGGCACACAGGGCACACATCCCATGGGATTCTGGGAGCGCCGAGGCTCATTGATCCTTTTGGAGTGTGAGGGCGAGGCTTCTGTTCCTCAGCTGCAAGAGGAGAAATCCTTCGGAGTACCATGCCTACACCATACATAATCAATATCATATCATACATAATATTGTGTTATCAGATTCCTTTTTTAGGCACAGTATATATATATAAATATGCTATTATATAGATTACAAGTAATACAATAGTTTTTTTTGTTTTTACAAACTATTTTAAGCATATTATGTCGTCCATCAGAGCACAGCCATGTCAGGTGCTTCATGATTGCGAGATTGCGGCGGAGTTCCCGTTGGAGGGTCGAGCCACAAGTCTCTGTTGGGAGACGCTGAGTCAACGCATCGTGGTGGCCGTGAACGGTCCAAAGTCCGACCGACTCTGCTTCTGTGATGCAGGAGACGATGAGAAAAGCCACATTTGTTGATGGAAAAAAGAGGCTGAAACAACGAAGTTACACCGTGTGAAATCCATTCAACAACCATTCATCATTGGATTGGTTGAAGGGAACCATGTTTTTTTTGGTAGAATATGAACCCAATCCAATGAATTCACCGGAATTCACGTGCCAAAATTCCAACTGGTTGGTTGATTCATAAGGGATTTCCCCCATCAAATCCAAGTAATATATTAGATCATAGATGGTTGGACTTTGACAAGCTGGATGGATCATTAGCTGGATGGTTCAACCAAGAGGCCAATTGTTTATGAACAATCCAACATGGATTTCTTGAGCTTACTCCGGGAGGCTACTTTAGTCGATTGATGGCTTACTTTGGAAGGTGAACAGGTGGCTGACTTTCCAAATCGTTGGAGGGTGACTGAGCGGGCTGAAACCTGAAAACTTCTCTCCAGACATGAATTCATTGGCACTTTTGAACAGAGTAGCCTATATCAATATCCCATACCAAAGCTATGGCATGACATGGCATGACCTTCGCCAGGAGATGAATCTCTGGAAGACGTCTCCTTGCCATCTGGTGCCAGAGCACTTGATTTGAGCTTCTTCTCTGATCCGGAGCCTTGGTACTCAGAGGTCACCAGGTGTGGCGGAAGTCAAACATCATGAAAAACCAACATGTTTTGAGTCAAAGCCACACATCTTCAATAATGAATATGTGTGGCGTTGACTCAAACTTATTTAAATCACAGTTTTACATATCCATCTCCATCTCACAAAGAAGCTGGGGACCGCAATGATGAAACGCTCCGTGACCAGGTAGACAACCTCACCCCCACTGGATGGTTCTACCAGTTCAGTGGAGTTATAAACCCACTTCTTTCAGGTGTATATTTTATTCACACACCACCTGAGTCTCGCGCGGAGCAAGGCTAAGGCCCATACCATGGTGGCCATGTTTGGCGGCCATGGTTTCACGAAGTTATATAGAGCCAAGGGCACAGGCGAGAATCGCCAGACTTTGTAGATGTGGACAGGCTAGCGGCTAGATTACCAGCCAATCCGCCGCGCAAAACGAAGCGCGAAATATCAACTGACCACGAGAGGCCAATCAAAAGCCAAAGGCCGAGATATAAACAATTCTAGAAAAGGCACCGGCTTGCTGAGCAAGCCAGCGGCAAAGAGTGAGCCCCGCCATTTTGAACCAAAATCCCATTCAGGCTGCTGTGGCAAAGGGAATGGCCCACAATCCACAATTAAAACTTGGCAAAGCTTGCCAGAAAATGCTAGAATCCAAGAGGCCCAGGCAGCAGCCACTCACTAAGCCCAAATGCAGAAGAGAGGCGGACTTGGAAGTGTGAAAAACTCGAGCGTTGATGATGGTGTCACAGCACGACAAGCGATGAAGACATAGTACCCTTCCATCAGCACCTTCATGGTTCAAGGTACACCCTGTTCGAAACGACAAGCAGCTGCAGCGCCACAACAAGAAGACAACAGATTCTAAAGAACAACAACGTAGATTACCCAAGACGCAGGCGCCAACTGACCCAACACCCCTGACATAAATCGATGTTGCGAACCAGGTATGCAGCAATGCATTTTGAACAGCGCAAGTCACAGATGACATTTTGACAATCACTGTGAAGACACAGGCCTGCATTGAAACGCAGTAGCCACGCAAGGCAAAACTTTGGATCCACACCAAAGCCAACCAAGACATGCACCTGGAGTTGAATCAGTCGTTCTGCAACTCAAGGCCATACTGCAAGTCAACTTGAAGTAGGAACTGAATATGAGGTCAGAAAGAGACCATCATGAGCTAGCAAAGGCGCCCCGGCGAGGGTGCGAAACAATCACACTGGTTTCAAATCAAGTGGTCTTGGCAAGGATGAACCGCCGGAAGGTTGAGCCCCACAGCTTCTTCTTATAATTCCAGTTGCCAGGATTTAGTGGGTAGATATCTTGGCACAATCGGGCTATCATTATGCCCCTCCCATTTCTAACTGGTAGTATAGCGTAATATATTATAAGCCCATTTCCGGCTGTCAGCACAACCAACCATTTCTATCGGGCTATCATTATCCCCACTATGCCCCAAAACAGGTTTGGAACACACCCCTTTATCTGGTTTTTCGTAACTTCTCCCCTCCAATTCTTCCCATTTTCCACCTGCTATAGCTATAGATCTGCAAAAAAACATACAATATGATCCGATTTCAATCCATTGATCATATTTGATCATCATGTATCAATTTTCTCGCTCCAAAATGACCCATTTTCGAGTCGTGACCTTAGGCCATCACAGGGGGTCACCATGGGGTCACCATGCGGCACCGGCCCAGGAGCGCCACAAGAGCTGGGTGGCCGTGGCCTGCTCCGATGGCGCGGTACGGCTGGTGGACACCTCTCCGCAGCGTGCGGCCTCGGTGGTGCGCACCAGCTATGCGCATGGCGTGGAGGCCACAGCTGTGGCCATTTCGCGGGAAGGCACCGGGGCTGGGGATGGGGGGATGGGGGGATGGGGGGATGGGGGGATGTGGTGGTTTTCTGTTAGTGTCTTTTTTGTTCGGCTTGGGAAGATGCCACGCTGATGAAGGGTCGGATTTTTGGAGATGAACTGACGAGTTGGGGTTGAAGAAATTTACATGTGCAGCACCTAGCACGATGCAAAAGCTTCAAGGCAAGTTTCTGGCTTCGGGCAGTTCCAGTGGTCATGTGGTCCTGCAACTTGGATTGCCTACATATTGCTGTCTCAACTGTTTCTAGAGAAGTTCTTGGCTAAAAGTTGCTGACCCAGACTTGTCCTGTGGATGATGTCAGATGTGTGCAACCTCCTGATCCCAGTTTCAGACATTCGGGGGTTTTCCCTATACTGATGCTGTCCAGCCAGCAAGTGACGCAGCCAAGATGGGTATATTGAACATTATTGAACTGTATGATGGTCATCTGGGGAGTTGGAACCTACAGAGTCTCATATCTTGAGGGGATGAACATCCATTTACCCTCTATTTTGATGTTGAGGATTCCCTGGGTTTTGACCCATAGCCACCATAGCCGCCACAGTTCAGCTTTCCCAAGGCAACCATTTCATGGAAGCGGACCGACTCCATTACCAGGCATCTCGGAGAACAATGGAAAACCACAAAGTCTGTGGGGGGTAATTATGATCGCCGTGTCTCCAACACATGACAGGCACATTTGTATGCATATATATATATACATAAACATATATATGTATATATATATATAAATAAAAAAGTATAAATAAATATAAATATATATATTGCGAAACCTATGGGGACTATGTATCCTACCCCAATATCCCTTTGGGAAACCCTGTCCCTGAATGCCGTGCCAACTGCTGTTCCTTTTTGGTCTCAAGATGCCTCTCCCGCCCTCCTCCTTGGGCCATACAGAATTGGCAATACGGACGGATCGAGTGATCCATGAAAGATCCAGGTCGCCGTGGAATGTGCCTGCCAGGATGTCACAGGAATGGTGAAAGTTGTTGGAATATTCACACTCGTCAAAAACAACAAACAAACAAAAACAAAAACTTCATAACAACAATCAAACATTAAGTTTTCTCTGTAATCATCCTGGTATTTTGAATTTTGGCCTCCTGTTCGGAAAGCCATTTCAGACGCTCTCTTCGGTCTGCCCTTTGTTTCAAAATTGAGAGTTCATCGAACAGGGCATATTTTCCAAGAGCTATAGCTTTGCGAAGCATTCCTCCATCCATTGCTTTTGTCAAACAATCAGCTAGCATAGCCTGACTACTTACCCACCTTAGTCTACAATGTTCAGCCAGCCTCTCCCTTACCAAAAGGCACTCCAGAGTAGTGCGAAATTCCTCACATACTGGTGGAGAAGTCTTCGTAGCTATGTCGTATACTGATTTGCAATCAGTTGCAATGGTAGCCAACGGAGCTCCTTGTAGTATCTCGGATGGATTCGTCCAATCTATGCTTGGATCACACAACCAAGCCCACATGATTCTCAACCAGCTGACTCTATCCAGGGTACTGCTCAGAGCTGAAGCCTCAGCACTCAAAGTGCTTCGAACCACCCTAGGTATCTTCCTACTTGACCAAGCTATTGGACAAATCACTGCTAATTGATTGTTGGCCATGTTCCCATCCGTGGTGAAAACAATTGTTCCCTGTCTAGACGAAACCCCTTTCTTAGTTTCAAAAGATGCATCAGAGAAACCACAAAAGGCAACACAAAACTGGGGAATTGGGACAATCAAAAGTGTTACTGGATGAGTTTTGGCCTCCAATAGAACTCGGTTGGCTTCCAATAAATCCTCGATACATGCTCTCGGAATGGCCGATTGGAGCAATCCAACCTTGGCACAGATATCCGGTCGGGTCTGCACAGCCGCATATTGCAGTGAACCGCAAATCTGCCGCAAACACTGTCGCTCTTGCTCCGTGACTGGAGCTTGAGGTTCCTGGCGTCGATGTTTCAAAATTTGGATGGGTTCGATTTGTTCTACATACTTCCTCTGGCACAGCTCAAGACTGCCGTCCTCCATTTGACGGTAACGGATTCCACAGAAATCAAACTCCCCAATATTGAAGGCACCAAAAGAATACCTATCTCGGAGTCTCCCAATGACTTCCATATAATAATCGTCCCCACCCCCTATGCCATCATCGACATGTATCCCAAGTACACCTCGAACGACTGGTTTGCCTTGATGGTCTTTGGTAACCAGGGAGAAAACACAATTGTCCAGGGGACAAGAAACAAAACCAAGTTCCTCCAAAGATTTCTTAAAAGCCTGATACCACAAATAAGGACCATCTATGCGACCATATGCTCCACCAGTGAGCCCACATTGTTCTTCTGGTTGAAGTTTGAGGGCTTCTGATATCTCTGGCGGCGGGTGAATGCCCAAGGGACGGCCGTCACCTTCTCCTTTCAAAAATGCCGTGGAGATGTCGAAATTGAGTAATGACCATTTGTTACTAGCCACTTTCCGTAAAATCAGTTGTTTTCCATCCTTACTCAAAGTGGGAGCATCGTTTGGGACCGTAGATATATCAGGGTCTTCAAAGCCCAGAACCACGAGCCTTGCTTTTGGTCGGTACTCTTTCGATCCAGGCAAAGGTGGCTTCCACGTCAGGATCCATCTACAGCGCATGATTTCGATTCGGAGGAAGTGACCCTTTTGCGAGTCTTTTGACCGTTCCGTGTTCCAGCCAAGCACCGACCTCCTTGGCCTTGGCTTGTGTGAACAACTGACGATCATGATCATTTAAATTTCTCCACTGTACTTCAATACGCTGTTTCTTTGCTGACGTAGCCAGTAAAATAAATTCTGCAAAATCTTTCTCCGCCACTTCTTCATGATGAGGGATATCAACTTCTTCTCCAAGGTTAACTTCCCAAACACCAGGTTTTTGGGGTTCCAAAATAACATCATCACCAAAAGCACACAACGACTCCTCATTCTCATCATCAGGAATCGGTATCCCCAAACCCCCTAGGTCCCCTGGTGCCAACTCATTTGAGGGAATTTCATCCTCATGTTTTGGAGTCTCACCCTCAACACTGATTGGTGGAGAGATCTCTTGTTCGGGTTGGTCATTTGTTCGGAGATCTTCGGTGGGTGCTATTGATGGCTCATACATCGACGCCTCATCAATTGGTGGAACATCCGTGAGGGCATGGAAGTTGCGAGCTTGAGGGGACACTGTCTCATCTAAAACCCGTCCACTTGAATCCTTTGGAAGTGCATGATACTCCCTGAGTGATGCTGGTCTCAAGTGCTGAGGACTAGCTCTGATCAAATATCCCCCATGACTTAACCATACCACTCTCTTCTGTTCCACCGCAATAACCTGAGCGGGACCATGCCATCTACCTTTTGCTCCCCTAGGATTTCCTTGGAGTTTCTTCCAATATAGTACCCAATCTCCTTTCTCAAACTCAACACTACCAGGGCGGCTCCTTCTCAGAAGAGCTCGATGACATGCACTGTCATTGTCGGCCTGTATGAAAGCGCGCCGTGCTTGTTCTCGGCGCATGAGACTTTCTCGAAAATGAAGGCCTTCTGGTGTTTCACTCTCTGCCAAAGCATGAGCTCCCCCATCGTTGTCCGATGTGAGTGATGCAGGTAAACTTCGTGCCTTCCCTAAAAGGGCTTGTTCTGGTGTGAAACCTCTTGCACGAGAGAGTGAATTCTTCGCTGCAAAGACCTGGCGAAGACATTTTTGGAAGTCTTTGACATCCTTGATAGGGTCTTCTCGGTCCATTCGGGTGAGCATATCTTTGACTATTTTTCCATGAATCTCCGCTCGCCCTATTTGCCAATGGCTATCTCCAGCAGCCATGACAACCCTGATGTTTTCCCCTTGGAGGTACTGATTCCACTTAGAACTGACATACTCCCCAGCTGGATCTAGGTAGAGGGTTTTACATGGTCCTGCCCATTGAAGCCAGGCTTGTTCAAAAGTTGTGATTTGCTCTTCGGTGCTTCGTCCACTCAACATACCCGTGTGGTATAAAGTACCCTCATCAATGAAATGCATGAAGTGATAGGATTGTCCCAGCGATGAAGTCCAATGTGCCCCATCCGCACCTACAACATCATTGAAATCCAAATTTTCATGGATAGTTGCTGGATGAGGAAGTTTGGGCTTTGGTTGAGTCTCTAAGCACACATCACATTGCATGTCAAGTGCCCCAGCTATGACTTGCGGATCGGCACCTTGTGCCTCTAACAGTCGCTGCAGACGAGATGGATCAGGGTGTCCCAGATTGTGATGCAACCTCATGAGGTCAGACCTCTTCTCAGAATCCAAGCGAAGAAATGCCGGCCCATGCACGGGAACTATCTTCGGGGGCCATCCCTTTTCCATCTCAACCAGTGGCAACTGTACCGCACCATCCTTAGATGCCAGATTCAATGTATTCACAGGAGGTAATGGGTTTTCTTGTCCAGGGTTTTCTTGCACAGCTTTTTCCTCCCCATTTCGCAAATCAAAAGAAACAACCCCATGACCAACACCCCTCTCAGCTTCAAAAACGATGGGTTTCCCAAAAATACTCAAATAAATTCGAGCTGGCCCAGCCTTTCGGGTTTGTTTTGCCTTGGACAATTTTTCCCACTCTTCAAACTCTCCCATGTCTACAATCTGACCAGTGGTTCGATGCACATATATCGTTTTTCGCGGAGGAATATTCTCTCTGCTGATCTGAATTCCTGGAACTCGATGGCGTTCGGTACCCCGACATGTGATAACTAGTTGGACATCAACATGAGGGACAAGTTGCTGCAATCTTTCAATTTTGGGATCACCCACCCAACACAGTGAGTTTCCTACCCTGGGGGCCCCTTTTTCAAACAGCGCAACAACACCCTTCCAGGCATTCTCATCACATTCTCTTTCATCGCATCCCACATGTGCAGCTTTGTCTGCCTCTGTTGGGGGTCCTTTGCCATCGTGCCGTCTTCGACACTTCCGCAGCTCTAAAATGCTTTGTGCCAGTGGCCTCTTTGGTGCACCCCCTCGAATTTCGATGTCTTCCCCTACCAGGAGTTCTTCGAACAGAAGTGGTTTTTCAGACCCTTGGTTTATATATAAAACTGCCTGGGCTACCCTCCGTGCAAAGACTGCCGTATAGGCAGCTGCATATGCAGACAAACGTACCCATTTGTGGTCTTTCCCCTTTACATTCCCCTTTATGGGATGGTGCAGGTGATTTCCCGGGCAATTTCGCCCATGCAACATTTTGTGCAACTCCCTACTCGTGGTCCACACTTGTGTTCTTTTCTGAAGGAAAGCCTCTGAATTGGGAGTTTTCAGACCACCTGCCTGGCACATGTCAAAGAAAGCTGGAAGTGTTCCCGTGACGACATCATGTAATTGTGGTTGTTTGGTCATCTCCGATCCAACTGGCTGTTCCAAATGGAAGTGACGTCCATGGGCAACCTGGTGAAGATAAAGATTATGACACAATGTCAAATGGCACAGATCACGTTTTCGTTGATTCAAAATTGAGTTTTGTAGGTCCATACTTCTCCCCATATTGAATCTGGAGAACGACCCCCAAAGCCGACATTCCGGGGCTACCCAAATATGTCTGGGTTCATACATTTCCACCCAGGTCCACAGTTTGTTGATCCCTTCGTCAGTGCTAAGATCTCCATCTTCCCTTGTAAACCGGATCGCATTTCCCCCACATCTATTGATTTGTTGGGTTATCTGGGATTCTTTCTCACAATAGACCTCAAGGAGATCAACAGGCCGACTGTAAGGGACAGGCTTTGGGTGAATTGAAGCCACAGCTGGATGTTTTTGTTTGAGATTAGACAATCCGCCCTGTATCTCACACATTCGATTCGAGATTTCATTATGCATAAACATCACTTGACTCTCAGTTAACAACTCCAGGTGTTGGCTTTTGGGATCCTCCGGCTTTTTGGGCCCCTTTTTGCTCGCCTTCACTGATCTTCGGGTACTTGTGTTTCCCGAGCCAGTTCTCGCTGCAAGATCGCAATCTGCATCTGAATCTTCTCGACTCTCTCCTGGTTGGGCTCCATTGTCATTCTTGTCGATGTGCCTTCCTTCACCTCGCTGTTCTCTCTCTTGTTCTTCTGACCTGTTTTGTTGACTCCCACCTTCTCCCAGCCCTCTTCCACTGTTGATGTCGATCGAATCTTTGAGGCACTTGCCATAGCGACGGCTATGGGCTGTGTCTTGTCCTTCGGTTGACTGCTCCGGGTCACTGGTTCTGGAAGTTGATGGCGATGACGATGATCCCACATGGCCTTCAGGTAGTTCTGAAAATTGAGCATCCATGCCGATGACGCCTTTCGATTCTTGATCTGCATCAGATATCCATCGTCCTCCATGAATACCTTCTCGAAAGTCTTTCCGGCTTGTTTCCCACTGGGAATCACTTGTTGCCCCCACTCGGACAATGTTCGAATTCCGGGTGGAACCTTGTATTTCCCTTGTCTCTGGGAGTAGGTCTCTTCGATGGTGAGGCTGGCATCCTCCTCCCCCGAGAGTTCGTCCTGAAGATACTTCAGGTCTGCTCGGGTGCTCATGGCTTACAACGGAATCCCTTGGCTGATGATCGGAGTTGGTGACTTGAGCTACCAATGGTGCTCTGGAATTGGTGTATGTCAATTCTGCATTTCCCTCAAACGGAGGTTTCTTCTGTACATGGTTTTCAGGCATCTCTTTCATGCAAAAAGGAGGAGAAAATGGCAGGGGAGGATCTATACCGTTTGTTTTGTCTCTGGAATCTTCATCATATTTTTCATCAAACCCTCTTTGAGATGGCGTTTGTGGTGTTTCTTTGGTATGATAGATTTCCTCTCTCCCATCCCTGGACCCTTCTACATTGAGTAGTGCGACAACATCCACGCACAGCAGATTTTTCCTACAGGTACCCAAGGGTATAACCATGTCATTTTCAAGGAATCTCATTTGTTGATTTCGGGGGTCAATCAGTGCACCAATCTCTTTCAACACCGTATTTGAAACGAGGAACGGTGTCCGGCCAGGCACGACTTCTACTCTGATCCATCCCTTTTGCTGTCGCGGAATGCAAATTGCATATTCGCTCTGAAGAGTGCCACTGTTTCCAAAACGAAACTGAACTGTGGAAGGAACCCTTTTGATTTGACAACCAGTCTTTCTCACGATACTATCAACAAGACCCTCCACACGCTCAGCTCCAATCACAGAGCGGCTAGCCCCAGTATCTATGACTGCTTCGTGGGCCCTCTCTTCGTGACTGTAAAAGACCGCGGCAGGATCATTCACAGACCCAAAATGGTCTGACGGGAAAAATGGATCACGAGGAGAAGTCACTGCGGAGGTCTCTGGCAGGATCATGCGTCCATGTTTCCTACAGCAAGATTGCAATCGAACTCTCAAACCCTTTTCAAAATTTTGATGAAAACCTTTGTTCATCTTCTTGGAAAGTTTGAGTCGTCCATGCATCATGGTTTCCACTGAATTTTGAAACATTTGGGACTCTTTTGAGGGGTCTTTCATGAAACATTTGGGAACTGTAAAACTCTTGCTAGCACTCATTGATTCAAAACTTTCACCCAGGAAAACATGCTCCACTCCTTTTCGGACAGTGTCCTGCTGGCCTATGTCCACTGCGTTTTCCGGGAGCTGGGTCGGCAACTCCTCGATGTGCGTGCTCAAAGTTTCCATGCCCGTCGGGTAGGTCACCAATGCCTCTGCCAGAGTGATGGTGTCCGGTGACGATGTCTTGCCCTTGTTGTCCCCCTTGGCATTCGTCAATGGACACTCTTTCTTCCAGTGTCCAACCTGCCCACACTTGCGGCATGCTGATGTGGCAATTCTTTCTGCCAAAGATTTGGGTCTGGAACCCCCAAATCCTTTGTTCATAGCCCCTTTGCCCTTTTTCCCTTTTCCTTTGCCCAGTGCACTTGGGCTCCAGAAACCACGGTACTTGGCCCTCTCACGAAGGCGGGTTCTGGCTTCCATGTATGTGTGGTAACAGGAAGCCAGTTCAGGGCTCTCCTGAACTGCCTCAATCACGGTGTCCTCGAAGTCCATGATGAAAGCGGCATCTTCATCCCCAGCATCATGTAGAGCTTGGACCATTGCCTCTTCATCAAAGGCTTCGGCCTCGGTCGTCCAGAGTGCTGCCTCATCGAGGTTGTCGACGGTGTTCACGTCGTAGGTGCGATATTTTCCTGCTTTGCTAGTGCCCTGTAGATCTTGGAAAAACCTTGATCCGAGCAGTCGTAACGACTTGCGAGCCCCTGCATAGGTGAGGTTCCCTTCCGTCTCCACCACAATCCTTTTTCGGTCTTCACTGTTAAGTTGAGATTGTCGAACCATCACATAGGCCCGCACCTCCTCCATCGAGACACCTTTGGCCATCATGTCCTCGAAGGATGCATCGTGTCGAGCCAAGTATGAGTCATTTGACTCATCTGTCTTTTGAATTGTCTGGTAGAAGGCCTTCTCAAACAATGAGAGTTTTTCCTCACTTGGGATCTTTCCCCAACTCCCCCCCAGCGATTCCACCAGGTACTTCACTCCAGATTCACTCCTCAGCTTCTCTGGGTCCAGACGGGCGATCTTCTGGAAAGCCACTCCCTGAACCTGAAGTGCTGCCCGTCGTGCTAACTGCGACAAATGTTCCACTGGCCAAATGTCCTTGAGAAACTGGAGCTTTCTGGCATAGACCTGGATGTCTGTCGTCTGAGGATCAAAAAGGGGAATTTGTTGCCAAGGCAGTTGGCTCGCCGGCAAAGTCGAACCGGCTGCTTCCGCAGGTGGCGCGTCCGCGCCATCCATGGTAGGCATGGCTCAATTGCACTACCGTGAGAGAAAGTTTTCCAAAATTGTTTTGTTTTTGTTTTTGAGTGATTTTTTTTTCAAACCAACAGAACGTGCAAACAAAATTGTACAGGATGCCCCACCCTGAATTAAAGTCTTTTCCAAAATGGTTATTCCCTGCGGCAGCCTTAGCTCCGCTACCAATGCGAAACCTATGGGGACTATGTATCCTACCCCAATATCCCTTTGGGAAACCCTGTCCCTGAATGCCGTGCCAACTGCTGTTCCTTTTTGGTCTCAAGATGCCTCTCCCGCCCTCCTCCTTGGGCCATACAGAATTGGCAATACGGACGGATCGAGTGATCCATTAAAGATCCAGGTCGCCGTGGAATGTGCCTGCCAGGATGTCACAGGAATGGTGAAAGTTGTTGGAATATTCACAATATATATATATAAATATAAATATTTATATGTATATATATATATATATATACATATTATACTCATATAAGCAAGGACATGCCCAGTTGTTCGCCCTGTGGCGAGGCATGCTAGAAGCCGATGAAGCTGGGATTGAAGCACTCTGCTACTCCTCCTTGCGACAGGTGTCCGGGTCGTGTCTCGCCGGGTCGCTATGGCAATCAATCTCTCCATGGCTGCCACCCGCCAGGAGTTGTTGGCCGCCAGCGACCAGCAGGGCAATCTGCAGGTGCTGTGAGACTGGGAGCAGTGGAGCACTTGGAGTGACTGCAGAATTTTTTTATTCCACAGAACTGGGATAGCCGCGGCTACACTCAGGCCTCAACACCTCAACACTTATCCAAACCCCTGCGGTGGACTGAACTACAAGTTCACCACCCAAGAGCTAGCGGTCACAATGTCCGACATGGACATCAATCTGTCTAAGAATGCCTCATGGGAATGCATCGGATATTTCGTTATATTGGTCCGATAGCTGCCTATTCCAATGTGAATATGATGATATATTCTACAATAAATGTGGCCATAGCCAGTATTTCCATATTATTCTGATATGATTGATATACTATTGACATATATTGAACTATAAACAATGTGGTAAACCCAATAAGAAACCATCACGCATAATTATTCCCAGAAATGGTTTGTATTCACCATCCTCAAATGGCAGAAACCCTACCCCCTAGTATTTGGGCTTGTTGCCAGCGCTGGAAAGTAGGCTTTCCTCATGTTCTTATATCCTTTGGGAAATGGTCATAATCAAATAGGATGTTTAAAAGGAGGAGGCCTGACCCAGAGAAAAACACATACTCAGCTGTAAAATGCACTCCGTTGGAACAATGGTAGTCATTGGGTTTAAAATGTTGCGATTTCCAAAAAGAAATTCAACCCTAGAAGAGGAAACAGGATATATCTCAACTTTGAAGCATTATATAGGTGCAACAGAACATGTATGTAACATAAAATGCAAAATTACAGTGGATAAGTTCAGGCCATGTACTTCTCATAAACAATGGTTATCCTTTTTTTGTGTGGCAAATATCATGAAACATGGAAATATACTGTTTGAAACCCAGAGATACACTACTGTCATGTTTCCACATGATTTTGGTACAATATAACATTCTTTTGACAACTATGAGTCGTTTTTGAAACACAACCTTAATTCATCTACAAGGCCTACTTTGGTTAAAAAAGTAAGGAAATTCCCTGGTGTTTTCAAACAGGTGTGGACGTACATAATACTGTTGAATGAGTGTGAGCTGCACAGCGCAGCAGTTGACCAAAGAAAATGCAACACACTGAGCTGAAGGCAAAATTACAAACAATATCAGGCAATGCATTTTTTTTTCACTTGCTTTCATTGCCCAAAGAGAAATATCTGTATATAGTCTATAAAGTTGTATGCCTCTGCTACATTCCCAGCAAACAATGCTTTGAAGAAATGCGGTTCTTCAAAGAAGTGCAGTTAAACTGCACTCCTTACAAAGCATCCTTCAACCAAACAAGTTGTTGTCATTTACAAGCTGGTGGTTGTTTTTGAGCTAATGTGTTTTCAGGAAAAACATATTTTTGTGACGGTTGGATTTTTCTTTTTAACAAAAATATGTGTTATCTACGATGTGTATTGTGTTCTAAAGTACAGTATTCATGTCTTCTTCCTTTATCATTTATCATGATAACATTCCTTCAGGCAGATGTTGTTTTCTTCAAAGATTGAATACTTCACTTAAGGTTGCAATCGTATTTAACAGAAATAATATTGTGTCAAAATATGCAGTGTGTCCTTTAAAGATATAACGTTCCTCTCAAAGAAGTTCAGCTGGCCTTTATGTTTGAAAGTAGCACCATTTCTTTAAAAAATGGAACACTTCTTTCAAAGAAACCCAGCTGCCATTTGTTTGGAAGGAACACCATTTGTTTGAAGGAACGGTTTTACTCACCAAAAAGAACATGGAATCAGCTGCCTCTTTTGAAAGTTACACCATGATTTGAAATCATGTGACAATCCTTTAAATCACAACATTTCTTTGTAAATATGTAAGACTCCTTTCAAAGAACTCCAGCTGCGCTCTACTGGGACAGGAACACCATTTATTTGAAGGAATGGTTTCCTTCTCCAAAAACATAATTTTACATCCCCAAAGGCTTCAAACCTGAAAAGGAAAATTGCACATCCTCAAGGAATACTGCGCATGTTTAGCATACTTTTTTTTTAGAATAATGACTTGACAAGAATGCCTTGGGGGCAAGATGAATCAGATTTGGTTTGGATTAATCTAGATTAATTCTAAGAAATCAAAACCTAGGGAAAGAAACCCAAAAAAGCAAAGAAACAAAAAGCAAAGACACCAAAAACACAAAAAAACTGTTTTCCAGACTAGTCTGAACATGCCTAGATCCAAGTAGTCCCCAAAACATTTTTTTTGTTTATTTTGGGTGGTTAACCACTCTACGTTCTATTTCCACTAGAAAAGGCTTGTGTATGGGCAGCAAAAGGCCAATATTGTTCTAGACCAAGTAATGTATTTGGGGGAAACAATTGTCAATTGCCTTTTGCGCGCCCACAACAAGCCTTTCTGTATTTCTAGTAGAAAAGGCTTGTGCATGGACGACAAAAAAACAATGCTACTCCAGATCATGTACTGTAATATATTGACAAAAAACAATGAATATATGCACCATTTTTCTGGTCACGAATCTGTGGTTTCATCCCCTACATCCACCGTGGTTGAAAAAACGGGGGTGTTTACTATGAACGGGGGCAGGGATTCATTGTAGTTGGTTACTGTAGTTATAAATCATTATATTCCCATGAATATGCCTTTGCATCACATTTTTTCACGGGTAAAACAAGTGAAACATAGTGAAACCACTATCAAATATGTTTCATTCCATGAATATTCCATTCATATTCCATACCCATGAAAGTCCTATGTATATTTCATTGATATAGTTGATACACTGTTTAATCATAGCCATGTCCCTGGAATTCCCATAGCAACCATCGCAGACAGCTCGTTTTTTTGGGCCAGGTCTGGGACGCTGAAGCCTTGCGCCACAGCTGTCGCTTTCCCATGGCGCATCGGGGAGCTGTGTGACGGAGCTCAGGGTGGCCTCGGTGTGGTTGAGAATATGGGAATTTCAATGGGAATGTCCATGGGATTTTCAATGGGATGAGAATATGGGTAATGTCACTGGATTGGTTTAAGGGAAAATCTACAGGAAACCATGGTTTTTACCATCAAATATAGGGCTTTCCTGTAAATTTTCCCATCATCCAATTCTATGATAATGGGATTGAAAAGATGGGATGTTCAATGGGATCAGTTTTCTCGCAGGTCCCCTAAAGTTTGGGGGATGAAGAATGGGTCCAAACTTGGGTCCAAAGTTGTTGGGTTTTTCGACATTCGCCAAGGCGAGGCTTGACTTTCTCCACTCAGAACAGTGACCTGCTCATTACGGGTGGCGATGATGCGGAGCTGATCTTTTGGGATGTGAAGACTCCGGGCAAAAAACATGGGCCAAACTGTGGATGATTTTTCCGTCTATTTTTGTTTGAGGGAAAATGCCCAAAGTCATGCCAAGATCATACAAAGATTACATTTGTACACATTGGTCTGGTGATTTTTGATTTTTTGATTTGATCTTTGTAAGATGACTTTAATTGGCTGATCTTTGTGCGGAACTTCATCTGAAGGGACTTTTTTGTGACTAGTTGGTTCATTTCAGGAATGCCAAGCAGATCCAACAGGCCATGGCAGCTGGTTTTCCTGTTGAAATTGTGTAGATGGGCTGCAGAGTCTCCGATTTTTCCAAGAAAACCCCATTGCGATGTGATCTTTTGGGAGGTATTCCTGACAGCATTTGGTAACCGCGTCAGGTGTCAGTTGAGAGCGGCATCAGTTCTCTCTCCTACCATTCAGGCGAGCGCGAGTCCTGGGACTGTTGCTGTTGCTTTCAGATCTTTCAGTGCGTCATGGGTCATGACTGATGTCCCCATGGGTCACATCACCCAACCATGAATGGTATATGGTCTATGCCATGGCTACTTTTTTAGGTGATGTCCAATATTCCCAAAATGGGACAGTTACCAACCCCTGTCAGTGCCTCTGGAGGTGGTTATCTATTGGCCAGTGGTACGACTGATGGAGCTGTGTTGATCTTTGACCTGCGCACCTTGGAGAAGTTGGGGGGCCGTGGGGGGGCTGTGGGGGGGCCGTGGGGGGCCGTGGGGGGCCGTGGGGGCCGTGGGGGACCGTGGCTGCTGCAGCGTTTTGGGACATTGATCCAAGGGTGGATTCGCAAGGAAAGGACATTTTGGATTTTGTATATGCTGTATATGCTGTATATATTTACATATTTTACGTGAAAGAGTAAACAGCACATTCTTCTAAAGTACTTTAACTGCCAAGTTGGCTCTCCCTTCTTGCATTCCTGTTCGCATTTAAGAAGCCACACAGCCACACAGACACATGCTTCAAACCTTGCGATATTGTTCGATCTCCTCTTTATTTACCCCAATCATTGACACAGCCTTTAGTTTTGAGAACCTGCTGGTCGGGCTGGTCGTATGTTCCCCTTTCACAATTAATTCAATTAGTGGCACACTTTATGCCATCTCCTTCGGTGCTGTGAGGCATGTTGGTCCGGCACTGAGACACCCTGAGAATGTGTCAACATGGATGTGCCCATCGATCCAATCTCAAAGGTGGCCAAGAAGAGCCCCGCGGAGCCGCTGCAGCGATTCACAGCTCATTCCGATGATGGAGGTGTGGAATGGAACATGATGAAACAGATACCCCAGAACATGAGATTTAATGGGTCTTGAATGGGATAAGAATATTTGGGCGTGTCTGAAACTTGGGTATAACTGTATAACTCCACTTTAGAGCAGTTTTAATGAGGAAGACTATGATGAATGGGATTTTGAGGTACGCTATGTTCAGACAAACCCAATTATATAGCCAACAACAATATGAAACTTAATATGGCACCCAAGTGGCTCAGCGTGGATGAAGGTTAAGAGTTGAAGAACCATCCGACACGGCGCAGACATTGCAAGTTCGGATTTGACATGATTTTTCTTTGAACATAGTTCATCCAGAACCCAGGGGCGGTCGACAAATCCAACACATGCTTACTTTGCCCGGAAGAATTGTGTAAGTGGACAGTGAATCCCTGGAAGATGGTTTTCCTGCGACACATTGTGGTTTTCTCTCCAACGGTTGCTCACCAACACTTGGGGAGAAAGCCACCAGTCGGAATCGAAGCAGCAACAACGAATGTGGCTTCAAACGAAATGGAAAGACGGTTCTTTCTTCCAGTGGAAAATCATGAGCCTAGCAGCATGGAGATTCTGGTGGAACTGATCTGAAGGGGTTTTCATGGCAGGTGCTTTGCGTGCCATTTCCTTCATGGATGAAGTGAAGCTCAAGGCCAAGTTTCACCCCGGCTCTGCCAAGCTTGGATGCACATGTCAGAGGTTTGAGAGGCTGGGCTAGTTGGCTGTTGATTCCTCATGTAAAATTTTGAACCACCCTGGAGGCTTTCTCGCGACCTGGGACAGGTTGGGGGCTGTGGTGACTGAGATGGCATGCCTTCAGCAACATCAGCGTCCCAACAGGTCCCGTTTCGCCCCAAAGTGACCATGTCGGGGGTGCTCAGGGGCTCAGGGGCCCATGGTCAGTTTTGTTGGTCTTTTCCAAGGCACTCCACAGCCGTTGCTTTTGTGATGATCCCATTGATCCCCCTAAAAATTCCTGTGGCTGAAGTTTTGTGGCTGAAGGCCATCCTCATAAAAAATGGGGTGCCATCTGTCATCCACGAGGTGAAAGCACTCCTTCAAGATGTGGCTAGCTCGGATGGTGTCTTCCTTTCCATTTTTTCCGATCTTGGAGGATACAGGGCAACCAGCTGACGTATTCGCAATTTTGGGTGAAACTATTTCCAGCTTTCACGTCATTCAACAAAACCAGCTGCAACATGTGGTGAATGCTGAACTCATCATAACTCATCAACAAAACAGACCTCGCCCATGCCGAGAAAGTACCCAGCTATGCCACCATCGAATCCATGATGGAGAGGCCTGGGCCTGATGAGTAGATGGAGCCATGTTTGTGATGCCGTTGGTGCCATGACTGGGCATAGGATAACACAATCAACACACAGGACGTGGCCAATTTTCGCCCATTTTGTGGCTTAGCTATACACAATCTGTACACATGGGTGGCTTCAACGACACCCTGGAGGCTCTCGAACAGAGTCTCAGTGTTGATCTCAGGAGTCAACGGAGCGTCCGGAGCGGTGGGTTGATCGAAAGGATGACATACCAATTTTCCTTTGACATCTCATTGGTGTTGATTCAATTTGATTCATACTTTCCAGGAAAGCACGTGCTAAGGTTTGATAGGTCCTATAGTTGCATCCAGCACTGTCAATTCTGATCTGAATCACATTGAGTTGATTTCAGTTGCTCCAAGTTTCCAGTTCCGGAAGCCAGTATAGTTCAGAATCAACCCGCCAGATTGGATGGTGGAATTCCAAACATGGCCAACCTGGCCAACCTGAGGCCGACGTGACAAGTCCTGATCTCAATGGACCTGCCTTGGACATGAGCAGGTTCGGTTAGAGAGATATCAGCCATGAAACTATGCCATGATTTCTGGGTGCATGTCTATGATCTACTTCATATATCTGGTTTCCACGTATATAATCAGCATTATCATATAATATATATATATATAATCATCACAATCATTAGCATCACTATTCTTAATTAATACATGATTATCATATATTACCATCATAATCATTATCCTCAATACTATTACATTGTTCTTAATCTTAGTGTTCCCACGTGTTGGTATTCTTATTGCCACTGCCATTTTTACCAGCTCTGAGAGGAGCTCCTTCACCTGGCCCAGTGCGGCTTCGCAGGCCACGAAAAGAAGTTGACACAAATACTGGATAGATCTGGATAGTATGTATGTGTATATCTAGTACATACATACATACGTACGTACGTACGTACATACATACATGCATGCATGCATGCATGCATACATACATACATACATACATGCCTTACATATTCTGGTGGCTGGGCAAATTATAACGACCTCACTGCGACCTCCCTGGAATCATGGTTCATAAGAGGAATCATTCCAAAATGGCCTTATTTCAGGTAACCGGTCCTCTCTTGCTTGCGGGGGGGGGGCCGGCCAAAGGGAAGATCGGTGGTCTTATTTCAGGTTAGTGAATTGCTATAATTTGCCCGTATATATATATATATATTGTAAATGGTAGAGAACTCTCTGTTGGAACTGCAGTGGTCTGATCAGGCTTTGAATGTAGGAAACTGTATGAAACCCTGTCCAATGAATGTCCCCTTCACCCAGCCAAATGGGAGCGCACTGTCTATGTTTTCTGCCCTGCCGCAACACTGAAATCTCTGCACCAAAGTCGAAGGACGGCCGCGTCCAAAACCTATGCAGCACCCTGTGCTGTCAAGTGCACCGAAGCTAAGGCTCTAAGGTGGACAAATCCCACCCTCCCGCTGCCAGGCAATCCGAGCCTTGACACCTGCGGTTGAACATCAAGTGGTTATTGCTGGACCTGGAGATAGCCCAAGGGATTGTATGGTACTTGCACAAATGGAAATCACACTCCCAAAAAAATGTTTTTTTTTCTTTTGTTTTGGAAAAACACTCAAGCAAGTGAAAGATTTATGCAGGTATGTGATCGCTCTGGCTGTTTCCATTTTGGGCTTTCAACCATTTGAGTCTATCTTTTGACCTGGCTCTTTCCTTGAGGGTGGCATCTTCGTCACTGAGGCGGTAAAACCCATATTTCAAGGTTTCCCTCAGAAAGTGGGATTCCATGGACTTCGTCAAGCTGTCTGCTAACTGAGCTCCACTTGGTACCCATCGCAGCATTGTGCCCTCCTTGAGTGATTCCTTTATTGATCTAGCCATTAGTTGAACCCTGAACTCAGAACAACTAGGAGGGGCTGTCCGGGTTATCAAGTCATAAAGGCTTTTGCAATCGGTGATTGCAACATCATTTTCAGGAATCAAGGTAGGGACCGTAATCGCTGGTTCGAGTTTTGGAAGAGTCTCTTCTGGCTTTTTCCAGTTCACCCGAGGGTCATGGATCCAGCTCCAAAACAAGCGAAGCCACGAAAGCTGGTCAAGGGTTGTGGCTAGTGCCATCGTTTCTGCTGACAACGTGCTTGTCACCACCTTCTGAATTTTGCGACAACCCCATGTGAGCGGACTGATAGGACACTCAAGTCCTCGGCTGATGTCTTGGTGAGTTCCTACTATGATGGAGCCAGCGTGGGAATCAGGTTTCTTGACTGATGAGAATGAAGCATCTGAAAACGCCATAAGTTGAAATTGTTGTACTGGAATGGATTTGATGGTTATGGTAACATCGTGGTTGCGCTTGGCTTCGTGAAGAACTCGGTTGGCTTCCATCAAGGTTTCCACTTTAGCTGTGTTGATTGCTGATTGGAGAAATGAAAGTTTACTTGAAAGGTCAGGTCTAGTGTTGATTGCTGCGTATTGTAAACTCCCGATGAGCCCTCGCAGGGACAGCCTCTCGGATTCGTTGACGGGTAATTCAGGCTGGGATTTTCGGTTGGATTCTATGGTGATTGAGGGGATCTTCCTGACATATGATGATTGACTCAAGGATATGTTGTAATTGGTATGTTGGGTGACTTCGATTCCAGTGAAAGTGAAAGCTGAAATTTTGTGAGAACCAAAGGCAAACTTTTGTTCTAGTTGGTGGATCTTTTCTTCGAAGTAAGAACTTCCTCCTCCAATCCCATCGTCTACATGTATCCCCAGGATCCCTTCTAGTTTACCTGGTTGGTCACCTTGGGGTGGTGATCGTAGCACGAAACAGCAGGGATCGAACGGCGAAGTCTCAAATCCAAGTCGCGTGAGTTCTGTCACCAAGGCACAGTACCACAAGTATGGCGCATCTATGAGTCCATATGCTCCTTTGTTCAGTTTGCAGATCTCTTGTGGTTTCAGTTGGAGTGCACGTCTCAACTCTGGAACAGGGTCTACTGCTATTATCCTATCGGCTTGGGGCTTACCCTGAAGAAAAGCTGCTTTTATGTCGAAGGATCGTAGTTTCCATGCATGAGATGAGATTACTTGAAGAGCTATCATGCGTGATGTTTTATTAAGGGTCGGGCTATCACGTGGGATTTCTTCTATGCGGGGATCAAGGTATCCCAGAACCACTAGTCTTGCCTTGGCTTTGTGACTCTTCTGGTGGTTATTGGATTCTTCATTTTCCCCTACATTGTCAATTGGTTTCCAAGTAAGTATCCATCGGCACCTAAGAATCTGTTCTTCTGGGATTTGATCTCTTAGAATCGCGCTGATGGTACTTGTTTTGATCCAATTTTGAATCTCACTGTCTTTGGCCTTTTCGAACTCTTTGATCTCTTCTGGGCTCAACGTTGACAATTTTACTTCTGTTCTTTGTTTCTTGGAGGAGGTTGCCAACATAATCCAACTCTTCTCTTCATCATTTTGGTCTTGACTTAGTGAGGCATGTCTTGGGATTTCGAACTCACATCTCCATGCTAGGGATTCTTCAGCATGACACGTCAGTGCATGGTCTACTTCCTGGCACGCAAGTTGGATCACTTCGGTCGTTGCAAGTATTGGATCATCATTGGTCATTTCTGCATTGGGAACGGCGTGTTCAGTTTGAGAACCTTCGGATGTAAAATCTTCTGGCTCTGGCTGTAGAGATCCATCTATGCTTTCGGAATTTTCTGAGTTATTGGGGTTCAGGTTATTGGGATTTGGGACTATTGGATTGGGTGTCTCCTCTTGACGGTTACTTTCTAGTGGAATTTCTGTGGAAGTGTCTTGAACTTCTGTGGTCTGTTGCATTCGATGAATCTGTTGGGTCAGTGGTGTGATGTCTTCAGGTAACTCAGGGCCTTCTGGATGACCCTCTTCCGGGCATGCTTTGCGGGTATTTTCAGGGGCACTTCTATGGAGGTTCCCATTTGCCGTGCACCATACCGTGTGGTTATCATCTTGGAGGACTACCCGAAAAGGACCCTGCCATCTAGCTTGTTTTAGGGGATTTGATTTCCATATCATAACCCAATCACCCTTTGCAAACTGACCTCGGGACGGGCATGCCCTGCGCAGTGCAGCACGTCTCAACACTTCATTGTTGTCGGCTGAGTGGAAAGCTCGCCGAGCGGCTTCTCGCAAGGCTAGCATTTTTCGAAAGTCTTGGCTTGCTAAGGATTGGTTTTCATCCGTTGCATGTTCATGGGCTGGTATGGATTCGTCACTGAGCACTGAACCGGGGATTCTTGAGTGCTTACCAAAAACTATTACCTCAGGAGCATATCCATGGCGGATGCTTAAGGAATTCTTGGCATGGGTGCATTGGTTCAGGGCACTCTGGAGAGATGCATAGTCATTGATTGGATGTTCAAAATCAACTTTCTCCAACATGCATTGCAAGAAGCCTCCATGACGCTCAATGCGTCCGCTTTGCCAGTGGGCATCTGGCACCGTGGTCGTGCTTCGGATGTTGAAGCGCTGCAGGAACGTCGCAAATTCTGAGCTATTCATCTCAGTCCCAGAGTCCACCGTGATCTCAGATGGTGGTCCAGCCCAGCTGATCCAGTGTTGATTGATCAGGTTGATGAGATCTTCTGATGTTTTGGAGGGTGCAACAATCGCAACATGGTAGTTGGTTCCTGCATCCAAGAGGTGGTAAAAGTGAAAGGTTTTGTTCATTTTGTTGGTCCATGTGATTCCATCAAGGTATATTTTGTGGTTGAAATCCATCATGGTTTTCAGGGATGCTGGTCTGGCATGTTTTGGGGGAGCCGTGGCTGCACATGTCGCACATCGAATTTCCAAAGCTGCCTGAACCATTTCTGGTCTCGCTCCACTTACCTGGAGTGCTCTTGACAAGCGATCATTAGATGGGTGGCCAAGGTTCTTATGCATGCGGATGATGGCTTGTTGTTCCCACTTTGGCAAACCCAAAAATCGTGGTCCATGTTGGGTGCTTTCGCACTCCGGTAGTGGCCTCGAGGCCGCAGAGGAGGGGGTATTGGATCCTTCCTCCGCTCTGGCTTCTGGGTAACTTGAAGGCATCGATTTGGCGTGCATCTTGGGAACATTCTCCACTGGCTCCATATTCGGTGGTTTGGTCACTTGCACAGGAATTACATTGCTTGGAGAAAGGCCCTCTTCGGAGCCTGGTTTCTCACTGCAGGCAGGTGGCTCATGCAAGTGACTCTCGAATTGGTCTATATTGGGCGCCGGATGCATCTCAGCTTTTGCAGGATCTGGTGTTGCTTCTTCCTGACATCCCTGATCTAACTTACTTTGAGGCTTCGGGATCTCCGTAGATTTGGGGTCAACTGCAAACACCGTGATGTTGATTCGACAGGAATGAGATGGTCTTATTAACTGTCGTTTAGATAACTCTATCCATCTCTCCCAGTGAGCTTCAAAACGAACTTCTCCAGTCCTACTCAGCATGAGCATCTTTCGGAATGGTGCTTCCTGAGGATGCATTCCGGGAGGTGGTGCCATTGTTCTGTCAGTACCCCTGCATGCCATCACTCGGTGGATTCGTTTGTCAGGAAATACATTCTTCAACATGTTCAACACAGCTTGGTCGGTGATCTCTGTTTTTCCTACTCTGGGCAGGTGGTTCCCTACTGCTTGAATGGCTTCCTGACACATCTCCAGAGTTGGCAACAAGGTTTGGTTGGGATCCGTTTTGGATCTCTTGGCACCTTCTTTTGATCGGGCAAGCGGAGACAACACTTCCGATTTTGGAAAACTTGGAGGTTTCCGGACTTTCGTCACTGCCAGGCTCGGCTCATCCGTTGGAACTCCGACATTGGCGGTTGCAAAGCAAAGCATTCCTGGTTGCCAGTTATATGGCCAGCATTGGTTACCTTTGCCTAACACCTGAGCAACAGTTCTTGCAAACCGCCGTGGGTAGATCTCGGTATATTGGGTCCTCAGCATGCTTTGTCCGTTCTTGACACGGCATGAACCTTCGATAGCCTGGTGGTCATGGCGATGGTCACAACACATTCCATGAAGTTGTTGGAAAAGAGGCGCAAACGTGGTTAACAGGGTCATTCCCTTTTGCATGAACATTCCGTTCTCTGGGTCCTTGAGATGTCCAACCCGACACATATCGAATTGGCAGGCTTGAGTATGTTCATGGACTTCCGCAAGGAGGGGTGTCTGAAACATCAATGACCGCTTTGGTTGTTCCCAGTGGAAATGCTTACTAAGTGACACTTGATGTCGGTATAGGACAATTCCCAGGGCTAATTGATACAGCAAGTCATGTCGTTTCTTCTCATACTCATCATGGTGTTGCATGGACCTAGAGGCATTCAACTGTGACCATGCTGACCAGGGTCCACAGGTGGGACTGTACCAGACATGAGTTGGTCGGTGTCTGGCCATCAACCGGAACAATTCCTTCCTGCCGGATGCTTGGGCTAAATCTCCCTGCATGTATCCGAACCGGAAAGCTGACTTGCCAAGCTGAAGCATCTGATGGGTCAACGGTGAGTTACTACTGCACATTACTTCACCAAGTTCATAGGGTTTTCCCATGGGTGTTGTTTGGTAGATGATCTCTTGAAGTTCTTGATTGAATTGTTGAATGAGATGTTTCATGTGTTTTGCTTCATGGTGCATAGCTGTCAGCACTGATTCATCCCAGTCCTCTCTCACTTGTCCTGGTCCTCGGCATTGATCTGGTCCGGGTTGGTCTGCTGCTCCAAATGCTGGATGACTCTGGTCAATGCGTTCTCCATGTTCAACATTCGAGCTTGCATTGCCATCCAGTCCTCGGAGGCTGGAAGAGCTCGATGATCCATAATCGCTGGCTCGTACATCTCGGAAGGAATGTCCCAGTCGCTCTCTCCCAGCGAAGAGATGAGAGAAGGAGCAGCGTGGGACTTGGCTGTGGCCTTGGCTTTGGCTTGAGGACGGTTGAGGCCTCCCACTTGGCTGCCTCGGGGAATCACCCCTTGGTTCTGTTCCAGAGCCTCGACCTTCAACTCGACGTACTTCATGAATCGCCTGTGGGACTCCTTCTGACTTTTCTGATAGCGATTGATCATGAACTGGATCCACTCCTGATCCTGCCAGGTGTCCTCGAAGGTGCGGTCATTGAACTTCTGTCCGAACGTCACCACCTCTGATGACAGTTCCTCCAGAGTGAGGTGGTCTACTGCCACCGGTTCCACAACTGACTGCACCTGCAACTGGCGTAGTCTTTGCGACAACGACATGACTGGACGGCGGGACTGATGGTTCGGAAGGCTTTGCAAAAGGTCTTGCCTGGTCAGTGGCTGTCGGTCGATCGATTTCCTGAGACGCTTGAATATCACTGATTTCCCCACTTGCGTGAACATGACTCTTCACCTGACCTGCCTCATCATGACTGTTGATCTTTACTGCATGGGTGTGGTCTGCTGGCAGCGGTTCTTGGAGATCATTCCTTTTGGCGGTCTCTTCGGACATGAAAGTCTCGGCACAACCCTCAGTTCTGACTCTTCGGTCAGTGTGAGTATTATCCATGGTGGCCCTGATTAACTCATTGATATCCAACAAAAACAACCCTTTGGCAGTTAATTGAAGTGAAATCGGCTTTGACATCTGGGCACTGGACAATGTTTGGGTTGCGCAGTCAATCGTGGCACGCAACGTCCGCATCAACGTGTTGCTAATTAAGAATGGTGTTCCACCTGGGACTACAGCCACCTTTAATCTGAGTGAACCAATGGGCACGACCAAGGCTTCAGAACTTGTCAAAGTGGACTGGTTACCAAACTTAAACACAATGTTACATGGACATCGGGATAGCTGTCGGCGGATGTCGGGGTCCAGGCTGCGAATTAGCTCACCTAAGTGCTGGCTACCAATCACTGTCTTCGATGCACCTAGGTCCAGGATTCCATGTGAACCATGCGACGCGAAACAAGCGGTGGCACTTTCTGGTTGTTCTGACATGACAATGGTCGGTTTCGTCTTTGATGGAACCCTCGGCATGGAGTGGACATCAGGTTGATGTCTCGGAAATCTGGCATGGTGGAGAGACTTGTTCCCTCTCAGAACGCAAAAGCTTCTATTCAGTGTGCAGGCAACATTGGCATTCGGTCGGGGCTCATGGCTTTCACTCCTGAGGCCCCATGATTGCAAACGGGCTTTTGCAGTCGGCTTGGTAATACTATGGATCCCATTATCCCCATGATATTCCCCTTGAATCATCTTAGGAAAAATAGTTCCCTTACCAAACCTGGAGTCACAAAAACTTACCAAAACTGGCACAGTGTCATCTATGGACTCTTCACCTACAGTCGGGAGATGCAAAAACTCCATGGGCATGATGTCTTCCGATCCTTCCACTGAAACTGTGGTTGTTGGCTGGCTTCCGGCTGACGTGGACGTACCTGATGGTGTCCCTGACATTGACGATCCGGATGATCTGAAAGGACACTCAGCTTTCCAATGACCCTTTCGGTTACAGTTTCTGCAGTATGAGTTCAAGATTCGATCCTGAAGGCTTCTACGGGGCTTCTGGTTCCAGCTACTTTTCCCTTTTCCACCACCTTTGGCAAAAGAGCCCTTGCCTTTGGACTGTGATGGGTTGGGACGGCTTGTATTCCAAAACCCTCGATTCTTGAACTTCTCTGTCAATCTACGACGAGCCTCAGTGTAAGTACTGTAAGCTGCGGCCAGATCACTGTCTTCCTGCAACAGTTCATTGGCTGCGGCCTCAAAATCTGAGACCAAAGCTGCATCTGTGTCGCCCTCACTCAAGAGAGCTTCGATGAACTCTTCCTCGCATTGATCTTCCTGAGCATGGTATACTTGGTCTTCATCATCATCGTGTTCTGTAACCAGAGTTGCTGAGCTGTATACCTTTTGTTTGCTGGTCGATTTCTGGCCAGTCATCTCCTGAAAGAACGTGGCACCTAAGATTTGAATTGCCTCTGACACCCGGCCTACTGTCAACTTCCCTTCAAGGCTGTTGTCAGACTCCAAAATGACCTTCTTTTCCTCCGGAGTTAACGTTGAACCCCGCAGCATCACAAAAGCCTGAAGGTCCTGTATGGAAATCTTCTGCGCCAGGAATTTTCTCCAAGCAATGTCAGCTCGGGCCAGAAAACTGTCGTTCGATTCGTCCCGCATCTGAACTGTATGATAAAGGGCCTGTTCAGCCTCTTCATACTGTCGTTCCAGGCCTATGCGGCCCCAATGGCCCCCAAGCAATTCAATCACCTTTCTCACGCTCTTCTCATCGTTCTCCATGAGCTCGGCCTGGTGCAACTGGAGTTTGGAGAATGCACTGCCCTGGCAATTGAGGATGAGCCTCATCACCAGCTCTGTGATTTTCGTCTTCGGCCATGCTGCGAGCAATAGTTCAACTTTCTGTTTGTAGATTTGCAGACTGTCTTTCGATGGGTCAAACGTCGGGACCAAAGTAGTAAGCTGTGTACTAACTCCGGTGTCGGTCCGTCCGCCTTCACCATCTGATGTGGAAGCCATCACGTTGTTTCCCTGGATCCTTCTTCGGCTTGGAAAACAGGCTGTTGTTAGTAGTCAGAGCCGGAGCTCCGCTACCAATGTAAATGGTAGAGAACTCTCTGTTGGAACTGCAGTGGTCTGATCAGGCTTTGAATGTAGGAAACTGTATGAAACCCTGTCCAATGAATGTCCCCTTCACCCAGCCAAATGGGAGCGCACTGTCTATGTTTTCTGCCCTGCCGCAACACTGAAATCTCTGCACCAAAGTCGAAGGACGGCCGCGTCCAAAACCTATGCAGCACCCTGTGCTGTCAAGTGCACCGAAGCTAAGGCTCTAAGGTGGACAAATCCCACCCTCCCGCTGCCAGGCAATCCGAGCCTTGACACCTGCGGTTGAACATCAAGTGGTTATTGCTGGACCTGGAGATAGCCCAAGGGATTGTATGGTACTTGCACAAATGGAAATCACAATATATATATATATATGAATGATATGTGTAATCAACCAGATACGAAACCCTGGGTATGTCGAAAATGGATAATACCACATTTTATGGCAATTTTGATGGGGGAAATGATGAACCAGTGGATTGAGGGGTATTCTATGTTAAAACCTACTGGATGGTCGGTTTGCCATGAAATCTAAGGTGTTCCAAAATTTCCCCGACCAATCCATAGATTTCGTTTCCCACAACTCCAGTTACTCGCTGGTTATTTCACATAGCTATGGAATATCACCATTTTTAAGACCGGTAAATATAGGTAAATATAGGCGAATCATCCATATTAACGAACCATCTTCCACAGCACAGTGCGACCTGGAGGTGCCACCGCTCCCCAACGAGAGGCGGCAAGTGACGTGATAAGCCCTTGGGCCATCTTGGACCTTGAAATTGTCATTCTGAATGTGTAGTCAACTTAGTCAATTATAAGACATCATAAGACTATCATGGGCCGTCATTTTGACTCATCTCCCAAGGTTTCATGGTCGTCATTTTGGCGTTTCAGCCTGTTTCGGCTTGAGCTTGATGGGATGAGTCTTGGATTGAAGAACTGGGCCGGAAACTTTGAGTACCAAGCGAGAAAGCTGCATGAAACCAGCAGCATCAGTGAGGTGCAAGATGTGGTTCGAAAATCATCCCAAGTACGTGTTTTGGGTTCGCGGCACTGCTTCAATGGCATTGCTGATGCGGAGGAGCTGATCTCTTTGCATCGCATGTCGAAAGTGGAAGTGCACCATGGAGCTGAGCCCAGTGTTTCTGTCTATGGCAGCATCACTTATGGAGAGCTGTGCCCCATTTTGCAGCAACATGGCCTGGCACTTCCAAATTTGGCTTCGTTGCCGAACATTTCAGTGACTGGGGCAATAGCTTCCGCTACACATGGAGCAGGGCAACGAAACGGGAATCTGGCAACGGTGGTGGTGGCCTTGCAGCTGGTGAACGGCTCTGGCCAGCTGGTGGAGTTCAAGGAGGCTCAGCTGCGACAGGCCGTTGTCGGGTTAGGCTGCTTGGGAGTTGTGACAAAAACCGTCCTGCGACTTGAGCCCAGCTTCTTGGTGTGCCAGCGCTGCTTTGAGGGGCTCCGACTCAGTGACGTATCGTCCCAGGAGGAGCTTGACTCTGTCTTGGGTGCTGCTTATTCAGTCAGCCTTTGGACCACGTGGGCAGGGAAGGGAGACGACATGGAGTTCTCCGTGTGGCTGAAGGAGCGCGTTGAAACCTCAACGGAGTCAACCTCTTTGCCAAGAGTACTGGAGCGGTGTCAGGAGTGCAAGGAGCAACAGCACCCATCGAAAGGCCGTGATCCTAGTGCCTGCACTGAACAGCTCACCCCAGGACCTTGGCACCTACGACTTCCACATTTCAAAATGGAACGTGTTCCAAATTCCGGCGAAGAATTGCAATCGGAATACTTTGTGCCTCGGCGCTTTGCGGCCAAAGCTCTCTGCGCAATTGCAGGGATCTCTGGTATCTTTCGACAATGGTTGCGGTCCTCAGAGATTCGAGCCATTGCGGCAGATGACTTATTGATGAGCCCACACAGCAAAGACTTTGTGGGAGATGACGGCAGTGTCGGATTTCATTTCACCTGGAAGCTGGCTGAAGTAGAGGTGAAGTCGATGGCGCTCCCGGAGATTGAAAGAGTCCTGGAGCCCTTTAATGCACGACCCCATTGGGGCAAGCTCTTCATAATGCGACAAAGCCGTTTGGAACAATTGTATGGCACAGCTCTGGTCGAATTCCGACAACTGGCCAATCAAATGGATCCTGCAGGAAAATTCTGCAATCAGTGGGTCCAGGAGACTATTGGTGACTACACACGAGAGAGTGGGCCAAAACTTTGAAATCTGTGTCACCAGTCACCTTGTACAGAGCCTCGACCAATGGGACCGGACCCAAAGAGAAAGTGTGAAGTCAGTGGTGTCCTGTGACGCCACATCCTCTGGATGATCCCCCAGCAGGCACACCGCTGCGCGGGAGTTGCCTGTTGGGTGGCCCTAGAGAACCAGCTGGACTGTCGGGTTGGTGGAGAAGTAATATGAATGTGTACGGATCAAGAATAGGGTACTAATGGACCTGCAAAATGGGGCATTTGTTTAATACTCAAACCACGCACTATATTTTAGTTTTGGCCAATGTCAATGCCCCTATTCACTTGTAGTCCGATTCGCAATCCGTGGGCATGTGATTGTAGTGACAAAAATGAGGGCGTAAGCATCTACAGTGAGCATGATTTTCCATGACCTTTAGGTGTTTTTCTTTTTGAATTTCACATATTTTCACCATATCCAATTGATCCATGATCTGATCCATATTTTCCCAGTGCAAATCCAGTGAAAGCCGTTTGGAACAAGCTCTCAAGATCCAACTGGCTAAGGAAACACCACAGGATAGTCGCCAGGCGTCGCGATTTTACCGGAGCTGATGTTGCTGGATGAAACTTTTGGAGATGTCTTGAAGGGTTCAGTTTCAGCGCAGGTGGCCAGATATTCCATTGGCAGCCCTGATGAGCGGGGGGTTGCCGCCTCGGAACACACATCTGCGCAGGTGGAGACAGAAGCCTTCCAAAACGATGGAAAAAATCATGAAACTGATGAAACCGTTTGGATCCACAAAAGTGTTTTTTTTCAAACGGGTTGCTATGGGTGATGACCGGCCCAGGCCACCTCGAGTCCATGGTGGAAGCAGGTGGCCGAGATGTCAGTGCCTTGCAATGAAGGGACCAAACCATAGAAATGAAATGTGACTTTTGAACAACTTTATGCATGATATCATACATTTTTTTTTTTAATAAATATGTTTTAATCATCCATGATCAGATTTATAGTTTGATGGTCCACTTTGTAAAGGAAACCATTTTTTGGGGGGGTTCCCCACTTTTGAAGAACAAGCAGCGACTGCGCAGTAGCCAGTTCCACTTGGATGCTACAAGATCAGGCGCCGCTAATAGATTGGGTCCTGCTTGGAGGCATCAGTACTGTAGTGAACTTATTTGGCAAAAGTATTCATCGCTTTTGCCACAAGACGAGGAAGCAGAAGTCAATCAACTGGGCACATTTGCATGAGCTGTTTGTTTCTCGAAGTTTCTGCAGGATAAAGGTCTTCTGCATCTAGTCCCGATGGATTTTCTCATTGATTTCCCGTTTGATATTTCCCCACTCATATTCCCAGTAACTTCATGCAATTTCCAATGCCAGTTTTTTGAGGACTATCCCCATGCCCCAAGAGATTTCTCTGGGTCCCAAGGCACATGAGCCAAAGGTGCCAGATCCAGCTCCAGAGGCCTGTACGATAGATTGCAGATATTGGAAACATGATTTGACTCAGTGAAGGGTTGATAATCCACCTATAATCATTGATAATCCACCTATTTCACTGGATTTCTCATGGCGCCAATCCCGCATGAAAATGGCCCATTTCTCGCTGGGTGAACTGATCACGTTGAAAAAAGCCATGCCAAAGCCATGGTGAAAACTGTGGGCCCAACGGCCCAACCCACAGAATTTGTTATCTCTGGCAATCAACCATCCAACATCATCCATCTATCCATTTGGGGCGGGCCTCTGGTTTTGACCCGACACCATCTTCCCCACTGTCGCACTGAAAAACGTTCGCTGTCGCTCTTGTGGAGGCCTGTCTCAAGTTCGAAGCACCCGAAGCACCTGCTCCCGTAGCACCAGCTTCACCTGCAGAACCAGTTTCGGCATCGGCTGTATCGGTTGAGGTGGGGCGGATGGAAGGTGACTGGGGCGACAAAGGTGGCTGTAGATGTCAGTTGTTTGATGACCAGGCGCTCAAGCCTTTGCTTGCGGAGCTGAGAAATGACTTCCGGAAAGAAGTGCAAGAGGTGGAGATGCACGAAAAATTCTGCCAGACATATGACATATATATATATGATCATATATGACATGAATCCGAAATTGGAGATATTCTGATATTCTTACTTACTTTGGGTTCCCTGTCAGCTCTGTGAGGCCCAGTTGGCCCTGATGGAGCAGAACTTCCAGCTACATGCGCAGCTGCGGAAGGACCAAGGGTTGCAGCTGTCTCCACCGTCTCCCACCGGGGCGGTCGAAGGGGCGATCACCAGGATGTGGATGCGTTACGAGCGGAAGTACAACAGTTGCGAGGCGAACTGAGGCAAGTTACCGCTGAAAATATTGCGCACGGCAAGGAGAATTGTTGCTGGCAACTGGCAGCGAAAGATAGATTCTCTTTGCAACACTTGGGTGACTTGGAATGACCGGCTCAAGTCCAATTTTGGAACCTTCATGAACTTTCATGAAGTTTTTTGGCAAAATAAGATCAATCAAAGCCAATGACATGCCCTGGGAGTTTGTTTGAGGCAATGCACCCGACAAGACAGTACAACACGCCAAGCAACATCATGTTTTGATATGTCCCGAAGATGAGGCGTCTAGTCCTGAATCAAGATTCAAACTTCAAACCGGACTGGACATTTTACACAGATGCTACATGTAACAACTCAGCACCAGCCAAAGATCCACAATTGGCTTTAACTGCTTGACTCTTCCAATTCCTTTGCTGTCCGAAATGTCGCGCCGTTCAGGGCCTCTGTGGGTTTCGGTTTTGGTCGCTGTGGGTTTTGCTCTAGGCGCTGTGAACTTCTGCAGTCCGTGGCACCCCCGGCCCCGCCGCTTGGGGTGCCAGCGGGGCGCCATTGTATCACAGACTGTGAGCGAAGACACTGAAGCTTGGCAGTTCAAAGATGTCAAAGAACGAACACCATCAGTTTTCTTTTTCTAATTTCTAAACACATTTTTCATTGCTTTCATGTTTTTTTCACAATTTCTAGGGAACATGATTTTCGGAATCAAATTGGACATCCGCATCACGGTGGTAACCAACCTTTGTGTCACCAGGATCTGCTGCCAAAGTCGCACATCAGTGGTGCTCTGCAACGTGTCCTGGGGCGAGATGTCTTTAAGAGTGAGACCCCATTCTTCTACAGGACCAGGGGTTCAGGCTGGTTGCATATTAGACAGTTGGAGATTTAAGGCCACATTTTTTCAAAATTGAATTGCGCATTTAAGGCAATTTTGAGGATGTTTAAGGCAGAACTGGGCTGTTCTTTGGCCGTTCGAAAGCCAGGACCACGGGAACCAAGAGTTTCTACTATGGTCTCTTGAGGATACCGGCGCTGCCGAAGAAAAACCCGGATGGATCCAACTACATTCCAGCAAGACCGTTTCACTATTGCTCAGGTCGCGGCCGGACTCTGGAAGATGCTGAACAAGACGCAGCACGGAAAGCCCTGGCGGTGATTCGCCGGGCGGATTCGGAAGTGGCTCGGTGGCTGTCATGGTCTGCGAGTACCTCCAAACAGGCTCTGGAGGTTTTGGCCGCAGAGCTAGCAGATGCTCGCGAAACTGATGGTAAAGCCAGGATGCGCCTCAACCGAGCTCTGGCTGTGTTGCATGGAAGGACCATCAAAGCTCATGAGATTCGGTATTTTACGAAGGATGATCCAGACTCGTGCCATGTGGTTCTGCGACTGCCCTGGAAGCAAAACCGGACCTACTACTTTGAAGGCAGTGGTTTGACCAGCCTTGATGCAAAGGAGAGTGCTGCGGAAGCTGCTCTCAGGATTTTGCGGCCCATGACATCGAAAATAGAAGCAGAACTACCTTGGCGAGGGAAGCAAAGTGAACGCAATGTGACACAAACACCTCAAGAAGCAGCGCTAAACAAGAAGGTGCCAGCCAAGATCAGGCTTTACCAATTACTGGACTTGGCGATGAGAAGGACTGGAAGGGTGCTTCACCAAAACGACTTAGTTTACAGCTGCCGTCCAGTGGTTGATAAGGATGAAGCTGAGAACGAAGACGTGAAAGTTTGGCAATCTGCCACAACGGAAGTGATGTTGAGAGTCCCACCTCTGCAGCCAGATGGGGATGACCTGACATTCTCCAAACGAGTCCCTGCTTGGCGAAAGCCACCACCACCTGATTCAGAGCATTTTCGAAATCCGCAGAAGAAGAAGCAGTTCTACGACCTGAGGGCAGAGTCACGGCGGAGCTTTTTGGAGGCACAACAAGCCGTGGCAGATGTTGCTGTTGAAGAGCTGCTGGAGTTACTGCCGAGCGACTTCTTTGAGGCTGCGGCAGAATCAAGTGAGAAGGTGATGCTTCAATCGTAGGTTGAGGTTTGAGACACAGGGCAAGGCCCCGAAACATAGGAGAAACAAACCTTGAGCGTCCTCAACTTAAGGTGCAGCTGAATCACGCGGCGACGTTGAGTCTTTGTTTGCATGCAAACAGAATGTGCACATTTCTCATGCACATTGGCACATCCAGTCAGGTCACTGTGTAATGTGCCAGATTGAGGGATTGCGATTTCGATACCAGACGGCTCAAAGTAGGTAGGTCGCCATGTAGAGAAAGCATGAGAAATCACACTCGGCCAAGGAAGGATTGCCTTTCTAACTTTTTCTCCAAAGCCTGAGCAGTTTGAACATGGGACCGTTCTGTGCCAATTCCTCCAGTAGGCGCGTTGCTCCGGGGCCTAACATGCGCTGCCATGCCAGAGCGAGCTTCGGCTAGAGGTGGCCCTGCCGGATGGTACCCCAAACCATGGGTTTTTCCATGGTTTTCACATGTTTTCAGCATAAAATACCATTTAGTCATGATATAACTCGATTATTTTCAGAGGTCCCCCCCATGCAAGGGACCCAGCATTTGAGCTATGATGGATCCATTGATAGATTTGATAGTCTGAATCTTGGTAGCTACAAGTCAATGATTTCTCCGTTGTTCCGGCGCCTTTTGCATATCATTTTCCTGTTCCATTCGCATTTACGAATCATACCATACCTTTTCGTGCTGCACCCCGATACACCTGCAGAGCCTGCAGACTGGAATGAATACTAGCATGAAAGCCGCTGGAGAAGCGAAATTGATGGGTTTGTTTGTGGTTTTCCGCGCAACGTCACAATCAGGTACAAGAGACTTAGGGGCCTTAGTGTGAAAATGATCAACCTCCAAAACGACTGGTTTGGTACAATTTTCCATACCCCCAAAGTATTTTTCAAACCGTATCTTCTTATAATAATAATGTTCCATGGTTTCAAAGTTCCATGGTTTCAATTAATGTTCCATGTCTTACACCAAAAGCAACGCCATGTGTGGGCCCAGGAAGGTACCCCAGTGGCTCGACCCAGTTCCACAATGTCCCACAGCTCAGGCTCAGTTGCTGACAGGCCCTCATCTGGCATCTTGCTAGAGGTGCCCAGTGCCATGGCTCCCCATTTGATGGCCAACGATGAAAAGGATAAAGAAACCAATAGAACAGGGTAATCTGGAACAATCTGGCAGTATATAATCCGTATATGGCCCTATATAAACTGCTCGATCTTTTCCTTTTAGGTACTCAATTTCTTGACAATGCCATTTTTTGGGGGACAAGTAGTGAACATCCCAAGACATCCCAAGACATCCCAAGAGATCCGATGGGAAAGCGGGGCACTGCGGGGCCAGGTTGCCGATGGATTTGGGTCCCATGCAGGAAAGATCCGCGATGCAGTGTTTTTTTGCGACTTGGCATGGCATCCCTCTGTGATCAGAAAAAATCCATCAGTACACAGTGTCAGCAACATGTGGCTTGGACTCGGAGAGAAAGACCGTACTCGTAAGTCTGATGTGTCTCTTCAGGTGACATTGCTGGGCAATATCTCGGTTACGTGGTTGGTCGCCAATTAGCTTTCAGGAACCTCTCGACCAGCGAGGCGGGGCGTTGCGGTTCATCCAGTGATCATCGGGCACAGCCGCTGCATCAGGTGGGCTTCGCAGTGGAAAGCGGTGACATTCAGGTGAGAGCTGCAACTATTGCCGAGCGCATAAATGATCCACAGGATGATTCGACATTGCAAGACGTTGCATAGATGAAATATGTGTTGGATAATAATGGATAGTCCTATGAACACTCATGATTTTATATGAGTTTTTATATAATCCAGGAGAATGCATGACAAGCGCCACTTCCAGCAGGCTTGGAACGTCCCCTTGCCCCTAGGTCATCAGTGCATGTGCGGCTTCCAGAGACCGGTCTTTCTTAGCCTTGTGCCGAACGAACAGCTTCAAAAGTAGCATCTCAATCTATGAGCTCGGAGCGAATGCAACCAATCGGCCAGTACAAATCCTGGAGGACAGAGAAAGTTGGGGGATGGATAGCATGTCACAGCTGCAGAACACTTGCGCAACATTTGAGTGTTTAAAAACGTTTTCGGGTTTCTCTGAAAATATGGTTCCTCCAAATCCACCAGTTCATCATGATTTTTCCACTTTAAATGGCCATGATTGGGGTTGCATATGGGTTACATCATGTTAATTCCCATTTTCAGCGCAGGAATTGCAGGGGCGAGATGGGCCCGTTGGCACACTGACTGCGGTGGCATTCTCTTCTGCCACCATGGCCAGTGGGAGAGCAGAGGATCCAAACTCCAGGTAGGGCGGAAAATGGGCAAAACGGCAACATGATGTTCCATCTGTTGGGCTACTGCAGGGTATATGGTTCATAGGGATATTGGTAAATTGGTGGACATATATGGTTATTCTATTATAGTATAGTATACTCATTATACTATAAAGAACATAATATGTCATTTTAAGTCCTCATCCAACTCAAACTCATTTCCAACCCCAACAGCTTGAGGATTAGAGCTGGCCAGATCTGTGGGTACATTTATTTCATGCCAGAGTTTTGAGCGGGGAAACAGCCTGGCTTGATTCACCCACATGTTTGGCAACAGCCTGTAGCATCGCAGGTTGTGTGTGGCCTCTGCGGGTCACTATGCTCAGATCGTCGTCCTCGAGTGGCGGCTGAATGAAGTGCTGGGGCGATATATGTTGACCGAGCCACTTACCAGGTGAGTTTTGAGCTTGGCTGGATTCTGCTGAGAAAAAAATCATTGGAACAGGGAATCCAACATCAATAAATAGCGCGTATATATAGATATAGTGGACATTTGGTGAATTTCTGGCACAGCTATGACATTGCTAGAACACTTTTTGGCGAGAATGGCACTGCTGAAAGCATGGTTGATGAAGAACCATTCATTTTTCAGGCTTCGGCTCATCAAAAAAATGCCCGCCAGGATAGCTTTCAGCACGCTGGATTCGGACATTGTCTCAGGGAGTGGATCCAACACCTTCGAATTGTGGGCCTTGAAGTCTTGCTCCCAGTCGGCTGGGGTTGCATCCAGGGTTTTTTTGTGATCAAAGATTCCTTGCACCGATCTCTGCAGATGCCTGGTCTGCATTTAGAGGCGCTCTAGAATATATATATATATACATATAATATATATATATATATAATACACATATGCATATAATAATGATAATAATAATGAGAATAATAATATTAGTAATAATAACAATAACAATGATAAGACTAATAAGAATAATATATGTATATATGTAATATTATTATTATAATATATATATATATAATATACATACATATATATAATAATAATATATATATGTATATTATAATATACATACATATATATATATATATAATAATATATATAATATACATATATATATATTGTTGAACTGGTAACGGGCCTCACAACCAAATCTTCCACCTTGACCACCTGATCAATCGTCCTTGACCACAAGGAAAGATAATGGATTCCCTGTCCAAACTTGTTACACTTCTCGATTTAATGGCAACCCCGGCCAACCACCATCCAACGGCGAACCACGCCCTTTTGCACACACACCGTGACCCCCTGAGTCTTCCTGAGCCTATATGGAAATGCAGCAGCACGGCCAAAGGCTTTAAAGCATGCACATTTGGAGACGGATGTCAGGAAAAACACACTCGTCAAAATTATTTTTTTTTGAAAGATGTAAATGCATCATTCTCCCAAGAATAGACAAGTCATCCTTTTTCAAGTGTAGATCGGATAGTTACATCCTGCAATTCATATGGCTATTCTCCAAGAAGCAGCTTTTGAGGATTATTCAAGGAACAACTCACTTTTCAAACGATGATATTTTGGTGCAAGGTCAATTTTTTTGATTACGATTTCAAAAAACTGCGGCTATTGGGAATCAGTTTTCTCTGGTTGTTTGGAGTGCTGGTGTTCGATCCAAGTCTTTTTGGATCGTTGATGGGCACGTGCTTTGAGGATCTCATCCACGTCATGGATTATGCATTGACCCTTTTCAAGAAACTTCCGGAGGTTGGTGCAGTCCATGTTTTTGGTTAAACAATCAGCCATCTGTGCAGCTGAATGGACCCATTTCACCACAATTCCTTCTTTGATTCGGTCCTTGATGATTAAAGCTTCCAACATGACCCGATGTTCTTGGCATTGAGGTACATTGGTCTTTTGGATCAAGTCATATAAACTCTTACAATCAACAACCGCGTATGCTTCAGGAGATTGGGCCAAATATTTCTCCGGATTCTTCCATTCATCTGATGGTTTCAGAAGCCATGACCAATGTATCCTGAGCCAGGACAAAAGATCGACCGATCCGCTCAGTGCATAGGTTTCGGATGCTAAAGTGCTTCCAACCACTCTGGCAATTTTTCTGGAATACCACAAAAGTGGACTGATCTCACTAGACTGCCATTCACCGATGTGTTTGGATGAGGCTAAAATTAAACATCCCTTTTGCGACTGCGAATTGGCACGATTGGCAAAAGAAGCATCAGAAAAGGACACAAACCTGACATCATGTATGGGAATGCTTTTGATGGTGATCTTTGTATGTTTATGGAGTTTCGCTTCTTGAAGTAAACGGTTGGCATCCCCAAGGTCTTTGACTGTGGCGCTGTTGATCTTGGCTTGTAACAAACTGAGTTTGGCGGATAAATCTGGTCGAGTATTGGTTGCTGCGTATTGCACACTGCCAATGAGGCCTCTCAAAGCCTGTCGTTCGGTTTCTGTCACCTTAGCATCAGGTTCTTGTCTGCGTTTGCGATCTATGTCAATCGCAGGGATGTCTTCTACATATTGCGTCTGATCAAGTTCTATGGAACCATCCCATTTCTGTGACAAATGGATCCCCGTGAAGACAAAATCGGTTTCCTTTTTACTTCCAAAGGGATACTTGCGTTCCAGTTGAGCAATGGCACTTTCAAACACTTCATCACCGGCCCCTAAACCATCATCCAGATGAACCCCAACAATTCCATGTATACCACTTCCATCCTTTTTGGGGAGTACAAAGGTGCATGGATCAAGAGGGGACATTTTGAATTGGAGATTGAGTAAGGCATTCTTGAGTTCTTCATACCATAAAAGTGGAGCATTCACTAAGCCATAGGCGCTTTTAAGGAGTTCGCAACATTCCCAAGGTTGGAGGTTCATTAACGATCTCATTTCCTTTGGGGGTTCCATGCCCAAAATTCGACCATCTTGTCGACTTCCTCTAAGGAAGGCGGTTTGGATGTCGAAGGAACGGATCTTCCACTTTGCGGAGGCAGCAAATTGTAAAATCAACGTTCGAGAGCCTTTTCCCATAGTTGGAGAATCTCTGGCAAGGGCTTCCAACTGAGGATCTTCATATCCCAAAATAACCAAACGAGCCTTGGCTTTTGGTTGTGGATTGGGGTCTTGAGTTGTAGGGTCCACAGGCTTCCAAGTCAACACCCAACGGGATCGGAGAATCTGCTCTTCTGGAATTTGATTACGGGCTATTCTCCTGACCGTTTCAGTGGATAACCATGATTGGATCTCTTTATTCTTGGCTCCTTGAAAGAGTTTCATTTCTGATGGAGAAAGGTCTCTCTCCTTGATCTCAGCTCGTTGGCGTTTCGCTGCGGATGCTAAAAAGGCGATCTGCTCTGGCACGTTTTGCCGCATGCAGGCTTCAAGCTCTTCCACATTAAGGGCAATCTCCATCTCTTGTCCCGCAGTGACCATCTCGGTGCATGTATTGGCTATTTGAAGTTCAGGTATTTGTTTTTCATATTGGGATTTGATGTGAAAAATGGTTTGTCCAGTCCATAGATTGGGAAGGCTTTGGTGGGCTTGGATGTTTCCATACCATTGATCTTGAATTTTCCATGAACCCCCATGTACAGCTTCCACTTGTGTGATTCGGTGATTGTCAAGCCATTCGGGATTTATGGGACATCCCTCTACTAGCATAGGATTAAACAATCGATATCGTGGATTTCGATGACGTCTAATCAACTGATGCTTGTGGATTATCCAATCGTCTTGACATGACATTAAGGCATCGGCACCATCGGCATCAGAGTCGGGAACAGGTATTTCCCACGGCTGCGGGCTGCTACCGTCCTCTGGCATCATTTGGCCTTGGCTAGTTTGACTTGCAGCCGGCTCGGAGTCTGGTTGAATATCTTCAGTGTCTCGTTCTTCATTCGAACCAGATTCGGCAACTGCTGGTTGAGGCTCTATGGTATCAGGCATGTTAAGTTGAGGGTTTTGTGGTCCATTGGCTTGACTATGACTGATGACTTCAGGTGAAGGGTTATTGTTATCGGGGTCATTAATACTTGGGTTGTGTTGTGAAGTGAGGTCTTGGTATTGAAACACACCAGATCCAAGTCTCTGAGACCCTGCTGTCGGGAACCCTTGGTCCGAGTTCGGCAGGTTGGCTGGATCAGCTTCACGGCTGGATAGCGACCTAAGATGTTCAGGCGCGCATCGATAAAGTCGGCTTAAGTGCGACAGCCAGACCACATTGGGGTCTTCCCGCATCAGAACTCTGGCGGGACCATGCCATGATCCCGGGAGACTGCCTTTGCCATCCCTCCAGTACATAACCCACTGTCCAATTTCGAAAGTGTTTCGGGCTGGTCGGGTTCTTTGCAAGAAGGCTCTGCGTAATTTCAAGTCATGGTCAGATTTCACAAAAGCAACTCTGGCATTTTCTCGCAAGCTCAAGTTCTTTTGGAACTGGGTGATTTCACTTGATGTTTCCAGCTCTTCCTGCAAATAGTCTGACGGCCCAAAATCGTCATTGGATACAGAGGCAGGTTGATGGCGGGATTTTCCCAGCACAAGAATCTCCGGACTATAGCCTCGGCATCTGGAAGGACTATTCTTGGCGGCCGTGCATTGGCATAAGGCTTGTTCAAGTTCTTCTCTGCAGGTTATGGGATGGTTGACTTGTAGTTTATTCAGCATGTCTTGAAGTATGGCTCCATGTCGCTCACACTTGCCGAGTTGCCAATGGGCTTCGGTTGGAACTACGGTGCTCTGAATGTCAAAAGACTGCAGAAACTTGGCAAACTCTTCACTACAAAACTCCCCCGCACTGTCGGACATCAGCTGCTTTGGAGGTCCAGCCCAGCTAAACCAGTATGTCTGCATTTGACTTGCTACTTCCTTGGATGTTCTGGATTCGCAGGTGAAGGCTACTTGGAAATTGGTGCCAGAATCGATCATGTGGTAAAACGTGTAACCTGCCCCCTGGGCTGATGTCCATGTGACTGCATCAATGGAGACGAGATCATTGAAGGCTCGGGGCAGTGTCAAGTGGCTTGGTCTGGCAATTTTTGGGCGTTGTTGTTCAAAACATGAAGGACAGTGAAAATCTTTGACGCCCTCGATTGCTTCACTTGGCCACCCTTGATCTCGTAGCACGTTCCCAAGGATTTGAGCATCAGGTTTTCGGAACTTGGGGCCATGGTCAGCTCCCGGCAGGCTTTTCGGCATGGAGGCATCCACACTGGGTTCGCTTGCATGAGGATCCTGTGATGTTGGCTCAAGGCTTAACTTCTTCAGGTTATCAGGGCAATGCCTTTTGGCTACTGGTTCCTCTGAGGATTCTAACCTGGGTGATGATGATGAGGACTGAGTTTCTCCATTTAGTTTCGTGGAGTCAGGCCTATGATCAGCACGTGGCATACCGAACAGAGTGACCAACAACCGGGCAGGTGGCCCCTTTCTATCGATATCTTTTCGGGAAAGTTTGGTCCAGTTTTCCCAAACTTCATCAGAAAAATTGCCATCTTGGTTACGGTGGATTCCCATGGTCATACGATGCGTGGCATTTTGTCTGGTGATCCCATCACATGGAGGCCTGTACCGATCAGCACCTTTGCAGGCTTCTATAGCCTTCACTTGAATACCAGGAAAAAGGCTCTGGGCTTGTTCCAAAATGGGGCCCTCACGAAAAACACGCTTTCCTACTCTGGGAGCTTGTTCTAGTGTCAACTGCAAAAGGTTGTTTCGTTTTTGCTCGTACTTCTGGCGCTGATAAAACAATGGAGGATTCTGTTTTCCCAAAATCTTTTGGCGTTTTGGTTCCGGTGTTTCAAAAGAATCAGGTTCATGGCCTGTGAGAGCATCTTCTTGGTCTGGTGCATGCCTCTCTCGAATTTGACCAATACATTGCAGACAGCGGGCGACTTTCCTGGCAAAAACTCTTGTGTAGAGTTCCGTGTATTGGGATACATTCACACGGCCGAAATCCGGATGATGAAATGAACCCTCAACTGAGTCATGTTCATGGTCACGAGAACATCTCAAAGCTTCAATGACCTGTTTCATGATCTGGGAGGTCGTGATGATCTGGGTACCCTTTTTCAACAGTTTGCCAGAAATCGGATGCTTCAGCTGACCTGCACGGCACATGTCGCAAACTGCAATCCAGCCATGGTTGACAATGGCCGACATTTCCTCTTGGTAAATCATTTGGGATCCCTGCGGTTGTTCCAAGTGAACATGACATTGTGGGCTTCGCCACATCTGGAATTGGAACACAGCATCACACAAGAGCAGGTGTACGCGGTCATCTTCACGGGCTTGAAAAATGCGTTGAGCAGTTTCAGGACTCTTGGACATGTTAAAAATGTTCCATCGACACCAAGCTCTACATTTCGGGGATACCCAAATGTTCCGAGGCAAACTTCTCAGCAGTCGCTCGTACAGCCGTTGTCGTCCCTCCATGGTGGCCAGATCTCCATCTTGCAAACAAAATCTCTCAGCATGCAAGCCTAGCTGTTGGGCCTGTTTGGTCAATTCACTATCGGAGCTGCAGTAGATTTCCATGACATCGGATAGGTTCTTGGCATACCTTTGAGGATCCCTAAACACTCCTTTTTGAGAAAAGAAACTCCACATTTCTTGGGCCACCCAATTGTCTTCCCTAGTGAGTAGAATGCTTTCCCTAACTCCTACTTCGGACATTGGGTCAAACACTTGAGAAGGTTCAGCCAATGTTTGCCATACACCACAGAGATCGGCTACCTGATGTTTTGTCATCAGGCCATGGAGTGAGGCTGTGCATGTGGATTCAAATGGCTCAGGATCTGCTGCAGCACGGACTCCATCTCGGTCATGCGCTCGTTCATGTGGTTGATCTCTTCGGCATGGGCCACTGGTTCCCACGACGCGCTCCCGATCTCCTCGTCGGAGCTGGGGTGCCATGGGTCGGATGGCAACTCGGGGTGATCCCGGGCATGAGGTGCGGCATGATTGGAGGCCTTTGGCTTGGCCTTGGCTTTGGCTTGAGACTTGGGTCGAGTTTGGTTCTTCTGACTTTCCACATCGTCCAAGTGCAGCTCGATGAAGCGGAGGAACTTCATGTGGCAGATCTTCTGGCTGTGGCGGTAAGTCTCTGCGAACCATGTCAGGTAACGATCTTCCTTCACCATCTCCTTGAAGGGCTTGTTCATGTGGGCTTTTCCAAACTCGATCCGACACTCTCGGAGTTCTTCCAAGCTCATTTCCATCACTTGTTCGACGGCCTCCGAGCTGGCTTGATTGTCCAGTTGAAGACGGCGAAGGCGATCTGCCAGCTGATCGAACTGTCCGCCGGTCGACATGACTTTCAAAACCAACTGGTTCGTGCTGAGCGATCTGAAACTGAGTGTTCTGATCTTTGAGCCGGGAGTGCTCGGCTCTGGAAAATGATTCGGCGGTCTCATCGGCAAAACTTACGGTGCGAGGCTTTGCATCAGCATTATTATTGTTCTCTTGATTCGGACTGGCATTATCTACCGTCTGAAAAGCTGTTGCCTTGGTGTCTTCCGACATGGTGTCCTGAGTTTGGCAAAACCCTTTTATGCCACGGATCGGAGCAGTCAAAAGATCCATCATGTCAAGCCGATACAGCTTACGCTCATTGAGCACAATTGGAATTGATCGGCCCAGCTTCTTGAAAAAAATCTGACTGCTCTCTGTGTCAATGACTGCACCTAAAGATCTGAAAACACTGTTGGCTATAAGAAATGGCGTGTTGGAGGGGACTACAATCACTTTCATCCAAAACGGACCAATGGGAAAGAATACGGCTTTCTTTCCGGTGACCGTGCTATTGTTGCCAAATCTAAAACTCACATTGCAAGGGGCTTCTTTGAGCAGCCCTCGGATCTCAGCAGGGAGAGAATGACACAGTTCCGAAAATTGACGCTGGCCTATGACTGACATGCTGGCTCCCAAATCAACTATCCCTGTCGACCCATGTGAGACAAAAAATGAACTCTCAGGAAAGTCCTCATCTGTCTTGGGACCCAGGGGGTCAGGTCGCGGTGATGTGCTGCCACGTTGTGGTTGAATCATCTTGTTCGGCCTGACAATGGCACGCAGTCGGGTCACAAGGTCAGGTCGAATCTTCATGATTTGGGATTGAACTTGGTCTTGGTTCCAACTGTTACGGATTTTGGCAGGAGGAAAACAAATACCGGGTCTACTCAAGAGGTGTGGACTTCTGTTTCGAGCCTCTTCAACGGTGAAAGCCACGGCATTCTCAGGCAGTTCTGACACTACGTCACCATCAGGCTCAATTGGATCTCCATCGGTGGCAAGGGACACTCCAGCAAAGGCAGTTGGCGCACCGGTGGCTGGTGCAGCAGCATTGGACCCTGCCTTGAACCTTTGAGGACACTCGGCCTTCCAATGTCCCTTTTGATGGCATATCTTGCATGAGCTCTCTAGAATTCTTTGTGCTAAAGGCTTTCTGAATTGAGATCTGAAACCACCCTTGAATTTTCCCTTACCTTTTCCTTTGTTGGTCTTTGAAGGACCCCAAAATCCACGCCCTTTGGCTTTGTCAAGAAGGCGCTTTCTCGCATCCACGTAGGCATTCAAACAGGAAGCTATTTCAGGGTCGGATTGCAAAGATTCCAGAATCGCATCTTCAAATTGCTGGACAACGAAAGCATCTTCGTCCCCCTCGGCCATCATGATGTCGACTGCCGTCTCCTCAGAAACCTCAGAGGCCAGGAAGACATTTTCATCTCCATCATCAACATCATGCTCCTGTTCATCTATCATGTTGGCATCATAGGTCTTGGTGCGAGTCTGATTTTTGCTGGAACCCTGTTGAACCTCTCCAAAAAATTTGGAACCCAACAGTTGCAGTGCTGCCGTCACTTTGGTGTATTCAAGTTCGCCATTTGCGTCCATGATGACCTTTTTCTTATCATCAGCAGACAAACCTGAATTGCGAAGTAAGATGTAGGCACGCATCTCCTCCAAGGTGGCACCCATACTGATCAAATCTTCGTATTGCACTTCATGGCGGGCCAAAACTGGCATGAGTTTCATCTGATTTTTGAATTGTTCCAAAAATGGCACGTTCAAACCTTTCATATTTCTTTTCCAGTCGAGATTGCCCCCAGACTCCCCCAAGGGTCTTAACGACCAGCTTCACTCCGTCCGTGGTACTGACTCGAAGCTTCTCCGGATCCAGACGCACTACCTTTGCAAAGGCGGTGCCTTCGCACAACATGCACGCTCGAGGTGCGAGCTGAGGCAAATGTTCTGGGGGCCAAATATTGGCCAGAAACTCCAGTCATCTCGTGTACTCATTGATCTCGGTCTCTCCAGGCTTAAATGATGGTATCAAATGCCATGGAAGAAATGAATTCCCTGAGGAACCTCCCGTCGCAGTCAATCCACCGCCACTTGAAGATTCCATGTTCCCTGGATCTACTCACTTTCGCAGCAAGCAACCAGGCTGGCAGCGGTGAGCTCTCTGGCTCCGCTACCAGTGTTGAACTGGTAACGGGCCTCACAACCAAATCTTCCACCTTGACCACCTGATCAATCGTCCTTGACCACAAGGAAAGATAATGGATTCCCTGTCCAAACTTGTTACACTTCTCGATTTAATGGCAACCCCGGCCAACCACCATTCAACGGCGAACCACGCCCTTTTGCACACACCGTGACCCCCTGAGTCTTCCTGAGCCTATATGGAAATGCAGCAGCACGGCCAAAGGCTTTAAAGCATGCACATTTGGAGACGGATGTCAGGAAAAACACAATATATATAATGAGATATATGATATATATATATAATATATAATATACATAAAGTATATATATATATATAATAATAATAATAATAATTAATAATAATAATATATATATATATAATTATAATGATAATAATGATAATTAATAATAATGATAATAATAATATAGACCTGCAAAGTTATGGATTTTCAATGCCCAGTTGCTCCAGGGACTGGCCACCTTCGGAAACGTCCGAAGAGAAGCTGGAGAGCAAGGTGAAGCGCCGTTGGACGATGGGTTGGTGGTTGAACCCCTTAAAAAGTGGGGGTAGAAAATGAACCAATCAACCATTTGATGAGAATATGTTACATATATATATATACACATACATACATAGCCAACTATATTAGACTTTTGAGTTTGTCTCAAAATGGCGGAATGGCTTCACTTCTGGGACAATGGCTTCATGGAAAAACATGATGATCATCCCCCCAAACGACTTTTCTTCTCATCTGGGGTTGAAGCCATACCAAAAATCCCACATTGTTGCTTACCTTGTATATATGATTCTAAATACACATAATTAGATATATCTATAACATATATATATATATATGTATATATTTATATGTATATGTATGTGTATGTATATATATATATATATCCTCACAACATGATGAGTTATAAGTACAGCCCCTGTCGACCACCAAACCATGTTCCACGGTTAGGACATGATTGTGCTGCAACGAGTGGAAGAACTCAACGAATATTGCAGCACCTTCATGGACCACACATGGCTTCAACCGGCGCATCTCGACGGAGATTTTTGGCGATGGCCCAGTTGTGTAGCCATTGAGGGAACTGGCGATCAGCCATGGTCCAAGGAATGGCGCCCTGGCTTTATGCTCTCATGAGGCGTGTTCCTGTGGAAGATGGCCTGTTTTTTTTTTGGGCTATTTCACTGGGACACATGACACAGTAGCGAAGAATTACCGGACTCTGGTCCATTGGTGATTTGAAATGATTTGAATGGACCACATTGATAAAACTTTTTAAAGCCACTCAAGACCCCCCATTGACCCATCTGAGAGTGACCTTGAGAGGGGGCTGTTGAGATTATCTCCAGCGGCTTGGACGTGGAGGCTGGCTGTCATGGCTGTCATGGCTGTCACAGGCTGTCAGGGATTACCTTTTGAGATGGCCTTTGCGGCCTTGACTTAGATGTGAATAGATCATGCTTTGGTGAGATGGTACTTAGTGGCTCATCCCACGGCTCGTAAGTGGGTTATAAGCCCAGTTATAAATGGGATTTTTGTAGGGTTAATCCACTTACTAAGTGGGATGAGCCACATCAAGTAGTGAAGTGCTGCAAGCTGCAAAGTCGAAGTGCTGCAAGACTGGACTCCAGGATGTCGATGGACGAGCTCAGCATGTCGATCCCGTGCTCCTGAAGCTGACTGAAGCTGAGTTTCCTCCTGGTCGTTCCCCAACTACATCCCCAACTATAAAATCCAACACTTGAACCCCGCCAAAAACAGCAACCACACCTGGCAGCACCCAACTATACCTTCCAAATCTTCCAACTTCCAACCACACTTTTTCTTCACAATCAACCCCACTATAAACCCATAGAAACCAACACCATATCACCAAATCTTTTCCGAACACCTCCAAACATCTCCAAAAAAAGTCAAAAAAACACTCCCAACATCTCCGAACATCTCCAAAGATCTCCAGGTACCTTACTTCATCTGCCACATCCAGTGCCCCTTCGGCAAGCGGCGCGCCGGCCTCCCGGCCACCGAGATCCGCGCCTTCACCCATGGCTTCGTGGTGGCGGGAGCGGACAGCTGCATCAGCGTCTGGCGCCTTTCACAGGAGGTGGGATGCTTCGCAAAAAATATGGCCTTATAATGGTTGATAGATTATAAATGATTATAATGGTTGAATGAAAAAGATTATAACACTCTATAAATTGTTGAACCAATGATTCATGATGGATTATAATTTACTGGTTTACAATGTGTTTCGAATGGCACTTTTTTTTTGTGTGTGTTTTAAATAGTATAATGATGGCTCAACATCAATCATGATAGAATTACGAGTATGAGTACGAGTTTGATGTGTGTCTATATCTTATGTTCTTTTCGCCCAAGGGCTCAGAAATTCGAGAGGATTTGTGGTTCCAAATGTTCTGCATTTGCCTTTTCAAACTGGCACAGACATGGATTCGAAAAGGAGATCGAATGCGTGTGTCCTGGCAGGGAGATCGAGACGCCGATGACATGCTATCGGGGCCTTCCTATGAGCATGCTTGAACCTGAGTTCAGTAAATTTGATGAATCTTTGGTGAAGCTGCATGTCTTCCATTCAATATGTAGCAATGCAACGGCATTCAACTTTCATCCATTTCTTCAATCTTTTCAGTGCTTGGGGCGTATATCTGGCTTTGCCAAAAAATAGGATACCCCCAAGATCAAGTGGCTTAAACATCTTTAAACCTCTGGTAATTTAACATAGATATTGAAAATGACCATTTATAGTGGATTTTCCCATTAAAAATGGTGATTTCCCCATATTTTCCCCATAAAAATGACACTTTTGGCCATGGTGCCTGGCAGTCCAGGACTGTACGGCGTGCTTGGCGCTGGGGGCGGGCTCACCTGTGGTGGCCCTTGATTTAGTGGGTGGCCGTGACGAGGTCGGGTGAACTCTGAATCGCCAAACATGGGAAGCGAAAACAAATGGAACTAGGAGAGTTTCTTTCCAGTTTACAGTTTACAGTTCTGTTTTCAGTTTTGTATGTTTTTGTTCGCATTTCGAACATGGTTTTGGACATCTTTCCGGTTTCGCAGCCAGGGTTTTGCGATGTTCCCCCCCTCCCCTTGGAGGTGCATGCTGCAGTGGGCTTCCAGAACGCTTACATCACGCATTTCCGCTTGAGCTTGCTGCGTTCTGGCGAGGTGGAACCAGCTGCTCCTGCAACTCGCCGATGATGGAAGATGCGTTCTGGTTACGGTCAGGAACGGCCAGTACCAATGAATTGGATCACTTTTTGACGGCTGAGGGATTTGATCCCTCATTGAAGATCTTCAATCAATGTAGTGATAATAGTGAAACATGTGTAGTTGGGACATGTTGGGACAAGGTGTAAGCTGGGATAATTTAGAGTCCGGGCGAACGCTTTTGGGTCGATATCAACGACTGAGGTTGAAGACCTACCACTGGTGGGAGGTGGCGCGCACGCAGGTGGGGACGCAGTGATTTGAAGCATTGCAAAACATAACAAGTGACATGATGGCAAGCATCTATCATAAATTCTATATATACCACCCACACACACATATATATATATATACACATTATAATTGTATACATACATAACATATATGAGTGTATAATATACACGCAGAATCAGACTCAGACTCAGACTGATACACAACTTGGAGGCCCAGTGACCAGCCTTGACATGGCCGTGCAGCGCCCCATAGTGGTCTCTGCTTGCAGTGGGAGGCTTAGCTAGGAATTTTGATGGCAGTTGGGTTGGCTGAAAACTTGGGTATCTAAGGTATCTGGTTATAGTTATACCGTTTATACTCCAGAAATACTCCACAATTCCATGCTTGCCATGATTGATCATAACAGCCATTTTGGAGCCTGAACTTCTGAGGCCAGGATGGGACCATTCGAGTGTGGTGGCCTAGCCTTGAGACTTCGTTGAGAAGCCATAAAATTTCACCATCTAACATGGCTAAACTCAATTTTAGACTAGTTTTTTTCCAATTTAAACCACATCTTTTCATCACTTTTGGGGTATGCTGGATGGATTGAATGGTGAAATGCTGGTGAAGCACCACATTTTTCCGGTGGAGCCAAGGTATGGGACTACCAAGCTGGTCGCTGTGACATTTGCGCCTCGGATTCCAAGGAAAACCCCGGCACCCCGGCATGGCACCGCTATGGTTTCGCTAAGATACCATAGGTATCCATAGGTAAGGTATGCAGAATGGTAGGTAAAAGGGATGTCACCAGCAAATTTTCACAGACATGAAATCAACATGTCACGAAGTGTCACGAAGTCGAAGCCTTTGGCTTTGGAGGCTGGCAAGCTTCTGAAGAGCTCACCAGTGCGAAACTTAGATGTGGTCCTGAGGGTTGGGTGATGCAAAATCTGGGAGTGATTTCTTGAAGCTGTCGAGCTGGCAGGTCTGGCCCTGCATCCTTTTGGCTTCCTTCTTGCAGTGAGCTTCAGTGATAGGAGAGCCATGGTGGGTCCAGGGCTGAAACACATTTGGCACGGGGTGGTTCATCTCCACTCTGCACATTATTCATCATTTTTAGCAATAATAGTAGTAGTAGTAGTAGTAGTAGTAGTACTAGTACTAGTACTAGCTTGATGTAGTTTGTAGTCATCAGTCCATCCCATTCATCCCAACTTCGATCCTTCCAGGGGTTTTTCATGGGGCTGCACCTGACCACTCCAGGATTCGCCTGATGGAGATTCTATCCAAAGAGCCTCCCTGGCACGACTGCGGTGATACCGACGCTATGGGCTGGGAAGAGATAGCAGAGATGGTAACACGATGTAAAACGCCTTACATTGCCTTACATTGCGTATAATTTAAAAGGCGTTTGCTCGGCTTCTGAGATCTGCCCGAGCCAGCGTGTTTTGCCAGTCTGAAGCTCTTCTCAGACATCAACATCAAGTGGCCACCTCAGCCATCAGCCGTGTGACATCAGATTTGCGGCTGACTATTGGTTCCTAGTTTTCCTAGTTGATCTGTCAGGAACATTCACCTGCTCCGCTTTTCCAATGGCGGCCATATTTTGGCTGCAGCGCAGGCAGTTCAATGGTACCATGTGATGGATTCGAGAATGCACTTCGCACAGACTTGTGCTTGAATTAGACTTGATAGAGGTAGAGAATGGTTCTATGCCTGGACTGAAGTTTGCAATTGTGTGACGAACTTTGGATGATGAGCTGCTTCTCTCGAAGTTCCCATTGTTTGCATTTGTCTGCAGCATTTTAGGGTCAAGGCCCCAATGGGCCTTGTTCAGGGGGCCTCATGGCAGAGGCTGCCCTCGATGCAGCGCCATCCAAATCCTTAGCAGTTCCTTCCAAGGCCGCTCCACTACCGGAGGCATTGTGCAAGGTGCCACCAGTCCCTGTCCCTGAGGCCTTATCCAAGGCGCTACCGCCGGTCCCAGATGCCTTGTCCAAAGCGTCCATCCCGGTGCCGGAAGCCTTGTCCAAAGCTGTTGGGCTCCCAGAGGTGCCATCCAAGGCTGGTGCTCAAGCAGCTCAACCAACATTCCCAGAGGTGCCTTCGAAGGCTGCACCTCCGGTCCCAGAGGAGTCGGGAAAGCCCAAATCGCTGGTGGTTGGGGATGAGACCTTTCAGTTTGCCGCCGGCTTGCAGGAAGCCTATCAGGAGATGGACTTCACGGCCTGTTCCGTACTGTCCACTCAAAACATCACGGCACGGGAAGCGAATCCGTTTCCACCCGTGATGAAGGGCCGAGTGAGGCATATGGTCAACCCGGTGACGATTGGCAAGACCTTTCCAGCCGGAAGCTTTGATGAGCTGGTCTTTTTCTTACCTGGCTTGAGTTTCTCAGTACCCAAGGAGTTGGGAACATCAGATCGGCCGCTGTATGCTTATAGAGTTCACCAATTTGTTTTCCATTTGCTGCGGTCATCCAAGTCCCTGCTCAAGGGCGATGGCCTTCTGCATGTGGTGTGGCCAGAGGAAACTTGCCTCATGAGCTCACCCTGTGGTGCCGCAGGCATCGAGTTGGTACAGTTGTTGAACCACTTGGGGTGCCAGCAGACAACTGCGAAGTACAGCATGGAGGCCATCAAGGTTTTCGAGTGCATCAAGCCCATCGTTTTCGGAGGTTTTTGCATTGAGCTGCCTGAATGGCTGCAGAACCTGCAGATGCTGACCTTTTCGCTGGACACGAAGCCCATCCCGCTTCCACTGTCCGTGGCTTTGCAGCTGAATCCTGATTTGGAACTGGTGTCGATCAAGGGAGCCGCAAATGTAGCAGGTGTGGAAGCCCCTCCCGAAATGGCCCCCCTGAGGGCCAAACTCATCCATGAGGCAATTGCTCGGAAAGCACGCCTGAAAGAGATCTATGGTCGGGATCCTCAAGAGATGGTATCGAACTATGATCTGGTCAAGGAGGCATTAGCTCCAGATCCGGATGCTTTGCTTTCAATACCCATGGAGGCTTTCATGATGACCTTAGATGAGCTGCCGCACTTCTCCATTTGCTTGAAGTTTCAGGTCTTGGAGGAGGGAGTCGCGAACAATGGAACTGGCGGTTGGGGAGGGAATGTACTGTAGCGAGTTTGACAGATTCTCAGAACTTTGCCAGACTCTTTAATTTATATATGCATATATATATACCAGTAGTACCGCACAAGGCGGTGGCGGAAGTTTCAAAAATAGGAAACCTATAGGAGAAGTTGGTTGTTGTGAATCAGGTTGGAGTTGTGTTTGCTGGAATGGTTGCAATGGTTGCAGTGGTCACCTCACCCACAACTGCTGGATGTAGTGTGATGTACTGCAACTGTAGTTGTAGTTGTAGCGTAGTGGAGTTGTAGTTGTGGTGTAATGTAATTAGTGTAGTGTAGTTGCAGTCAGATAGTTGTAGCTGTAGTTGTTTTGTAGTTGTTGT